GGCTGGGTTGGGGTTGGGTTGGGTTGTGTAGGGTAGTAGGGTAGTAGGGTAGCCGGGGTGGGTTGGTGACCACGTTCTGTCCTTTTTTCCTTCTTCTTCTTTTTTCCCTTGGGTCTTCTTTCTTCTTCACTTGTTTCATTATTGTTTTTGAGGGTACATGCTTCGTGTCCCATGCTTATTGTTACTGATCAATTGGATCCCGAATCTGGATTCAGTGAATTAGTTATACATTCCGTGTATAAGCGAGTTCGTACTCGACTTCAATTTGCGGAACTTTTGACTCGGACGCATCGCGCTGGCTGCTGGGGTTGTTTGGCTGTGCTGCTGCTGCTGCTGCTGCTGCTGCTGCACTGTCGCTGCTGGCTGCGACTCGCTGCCTTATATTGTCGGCAGTGCTGTGCTGTGCTTGGAGAGGGGTGAGGGTGTGTGAGGTGTACTGCACACCCATCCATCAACATCATCTGCGGGGCTGCGGCTTGGGCTTGGGCTTGGGCTTGGGAGCGTGGACAGGCGTATTGGGGAGAGGGGAAAGGCGTTGCAGGTGTTTTGCCATCAATGCTTGCTCTTGCCCCCTTCTTCTGTTCACGAGATTGTGAAGCTCGCTATCCGGAGACGATCTGGGGTACTTACGACTAGCAACAGCTCAGCTTTGAGGGGTGAGGGTTGTAGTCTGTGGTTACTTACCCACTTGCTTGTAGGTATCTGTGCCTACGTCCGGTTGGGTTAGGCGCTCCTCTTGTTGTTGGGGTGCCTCGCCTCTTTTCTTGCCTCCTCTTGTTGTGATCTCGACTACTTTGCGTTCCGACTCAGGTCTGTCTACAGGGTGTACATCGCACGGTGTTACATACCACGACTACCTTAAAGCCACACTACGCTCTACACCCTAACATACACCCCAACAAGCAAAAATGGCCGACCCTCCGCCCCCCAAAGACAAACTCGAAGTCGCCCTCTTCCTCGCCGCCACGCAAGGCTACGACACCATCGTCACCCTCCTGCTGGGCACCCCAGGCGTCAAACTCGAGAGCCGTGACGAGCTCGGCCGCACCCCGTTCTTCTGGGCCGCCGCGCACGGCCACGACAAGGTCCTGCAACTCCTGCTGGGCACGGGGACTGTCGACCCCAATGTGCGCGAGACGGCCCGCGGCGGGCTGTCGGCGCTGAGCGCCGCGGTCGAGGGCGGGCACGCGGCCGTCGTGACCCGGTTGCTCGGGGTCGGGGTTGACGTGCAACCGGCGGATGGGCAGGGGAAGACGGCGTTGATGTATGCCGTCGGGAGTATTGAAGATCCCGGGGTTCGTCTGGCGATTGTCACCGCGCTGGTGGGGGCCAAGGCGGAGGTGAATGTTCGGGATGAGGCGGGGAGGGTGCCGTTGGGCGTCGCGGTGGAGAAAGGGGATGCGGCGGTTGTCGGGGTTTTGGTCAAGGCCGGGGCGGATGTGAATGTGAGGGATGGGAAGGAGGAGAATGGGGTCAGGCCGTTGGAGGTGGCAGTTGATAAGGGGGCTGTTGACGTTGTAGAGGTTTTGGTGGATGCGCAGGCGGATCCGAATGCGGGGTTGAATTGTGAAGAAGAGGGGGAGGAGGGTGAAGGAGAAGCTGCTGCTGCTGCTGCTGCTCGGGCACCGCCGTTGTCGGTGGCGGTGGAGAAAGGGAATGAGACGATTGTACAGTTGCTGCTAAAGGCTGGCGCGAACCCCGATGCTAAAGACCTGGCTGGTCGCGCACCTCTGTCGGTGGCGGTTGAGAAAGGGAATGAAACGATTGCGCAGTTGTTACTCAAGGCTGGCGCGAATCCGGATGTTAGGGATGAGGACGGGAGGCCGCCGTTGCTGTGGGCTGTGGAAAAGGGCTCCGAGGAGGTCGTGCGGTTGCTGATCGCCTCGCGGAGAATCAACCTTGATCTCGTGGATGATGCAGGCCGGTCAGCTCTCTGGTGGGCTGCGCGGATGGGTTTGCTCTCGATCGTGCGGTTGCTTGTTCGGCACGGGGCCGACTTGGAGATTCGACCGACAGAGCCTGAGGATGCACAGCAGCAGCAGCAACAACAACCTTGCGGGACTGCCTTATATCAAGCCGGTCGACGCGGTCATTTTGAGGTGGTCAAGTATCTGCTGAAGAAGAAGGCGGACATCAATGCCCCAGCTCGGGGCCTGTCCCTTCTGATGTCCTTGGTCTTGTATGATCGGGGCAAGCGGGGACGGAAGATGATCGAATTGCTCCTTGACGCAGGGGCTAATGCCAACACCAAGGATACCTCCGGGCGAACGATTCTAGACATCGCAGCAGCCGATGGCGATGTTGAGCTGGCTAAAATCGCCCTCGACAGCGGCGTAGGACTCGAGGCTACGGCAGAGGACGGCATGACGGCGTTGCACCGGGCGGTCATCAACCGCCACGACCACATCATGGACATGCTCCTTGACTATGGTGCCGACCCGGAAGCCCAGGACGGCAATGGGGATACGCCTCTACATTTTGCAGCCGCCAGCGGTCGGCGGAATTTGTTCGAATTGTTCCTGGAGAAGTCGCCCGATATCAACGTGACCAACTTCTCCGGTGAGAGCCCCCTGCACAAGGCCGTCCAACGAGGCCGGCGGAAAATGGTCGAGTATATGGTCCGCAACGATGCGGACCTCGAGGTGCGTGACGACTACAAGCGAACGCCGTTGCTCAAGGCAGTGGGGGCGGAGAACCACGTTATGAGATTGCTGGTCAACAAGGGAGCTCATGTGCATGCGAAGGACATGTTCGGGCAGACGGCGCTGCATATGGCGGCAGAGGCCGGGCTGGCTGACGATGTGTACTTCTTGCTGGGCCATGGCTTGTCGGCGAGTCTGCCGGATGATCGTGGTCGCACCCCCAAGGAGCTTGCAGCTAAGAATGGAAGGAAGGATGTTGTCGCCCTCTTTAAGCGGATGGAATTGATGGCGCCGAAGCAGGAGGAGGATGAGGATTCCTCGGAAGGATGAGTATATCGGCTGCGGGAGGAAGATCATTGGAGTTGTGGATCCTGTGTACGTATTATCTTGAGTTTGGATTAGCGCATGTACAGGTTGTCTGTGAGACAAGTGCACTGTACCTTTAAGCGACGATGGATATCGTCATATAGACTAGAATGGAGGGTTCGGCGGGTGCGTCCGAATCATGGGCAGCAGTTAGGAGGTTTCCGCCTTGTAGCACAAACAAACTGATCATCGACAATGAGCATATTAACGCAGAAAAAAAGAAGGCTCACACATCAATGGTAAGTCAGAGCAGAGAGATGGTGAGGAGCAAAAAGTGAAGCCCAACGCGGGGGTTGAACCCGCAACCTTGAGATTAAGAGTCTCACGCTCTGCCGATTGAGCTAGCCGGGCTGACTTGTTGAAGGTGAAAGCAACCTTGGTCTTATATTAAAAGATAATGCTAGTCATGCACGCCACCAAATCGGGCTTAATGCTACTATCACGAGTGGCTGTCGTATGGAAGACGGTGAGATATGGCTAAACGCTGCCCTCTAGTCCTCAGGCATACTTGTTCGACTATTCCGCCAGGTATGCCAGTCAGCTATTCTTGATCCCTTTGGAGATGGTTACACTACGACGGTTCATCCTTCTCGAGCCCGGTCTTTACCCGTTCGTGTCTAACGGACAAGATATATCTATGTGTATGCACTCGGCTAGGCCCATCCCATGGCCGACAATCCGAAACGTGGCCTACACCGACGGTACATACAAAGCAAGAACACAGCAGAAACACCACAGATGCCACCACACGCACAAAAGTCACACACCATGACGAGACAGACGCACCAGAGCAACTGACGACGAGGCCGTCAAGTTCATACAACCCGAGCCCAGCCCAACAAGACATTGTCGATGCTGCGCTCGGTATTCCAACTCTTACACACCTGGAACAAGACACAGCAAGTGACACAGCTGCACATGAATGTGGAGCCATCCAAATCCTGACTAGCACAGCTGGTGTACCTACTATACCAAGTACATCACTCAGACCTGGCGTCAATCGAGCCGCTCCCATGGTTGCCACCTGGGCAACCATCCGCTCGCCAGCCCAGCGTTGACGCGCAGCCAGTCGACCAGGTAAGACCCGAACACCAACTGAGATGCCCCAAAATCTATAGCCTTGAAGATACATATAACGAGTGTCACATCCGCTGAATAGTTCCCAGTGCCACCCCAACACCCGGTCGGGACACAATGGTGAAGGCTACACATTCCACCTGGCGATCATGAAGCTCTCCGGTGTAATCCTCTTCAACAAATCAGCCCGGCTAGCTCAATCGGCAGAGCGTGAGACTCTTAATCTCAAGGTTGCGGGTTCAACCCCCGCGTTGGGCTTTCATTTTTGATTGGTTTTACATCAGCTTCTCTTCTCCTTTTTTTGTATCTTTTACCCGAGATAAAACGAGCCTAATAGTTCACGGGACCGAATCACCAACTGAAACGTAACAAATACCCACCTTGTGAGTTTGGTGGTGCATCCTACGCTGCCAATAGGGAACAATTGCTAACTGGAGCGTACCTTATAGAGAAGAATTCTACGGCAGAGTCGACGCTCGGCTCTCTTGCTTTTCAGCACCAGTATTTTGGTTGTTGCCTTGAAGGCACTGACGCCTTCTATAGAGCGAAAGATCTATAACATCTTCAACAACCAGCCCGGCTAGCTCAATCGGCAGAGCGTGAGACTCTTAATCTCAAGGTTGCGGGTTCAACCCCCGCGTTGGGCTTTAACTTTTGCTTTCGATTTTCCTTTTTGCTGGTCGGATCATAGGGGACTCGTGCCTCAAGCAAGCATCATTGATTGACCAGCCCGTATTCAGACTGGAATTCCAATAAGCGGCCCGCATCGGGCTCAAACCATGCATTCACCACAAACAGATACTCCAAAGAAAGGATCCACAATAGCCAACTGTCACTGTACATTGCCCACCCTACCACTTGCAAACAACCACCCTGAGGCAATGGCAGGTGATATTTCCTCCCGTAGAACAAGCCCTAATCCTCGTCCAGCATTGTTGAGCTCGACTCCCCAATCATCATGCCCCGTCTAGCTTTCTCCTCCGTCAACTGCCGCACGGTCTCAGTCAAAGCCATCACCTGCTCCTTCAACTGCACGAGCTCGGCCGTGGTACTATCCACATGGAGGTTCGGCGCAGTTTCCTGGACGGACTGCCTCCAGGCATCGTCGATATCGAAGTCCACCTCCTCAGCAGCATGCTCCCACTCCTGGACACTATCGTCATCCTCTTCCCCACGGCGCCGGTTCCATCTGATCCGCCTCGCGTCCCGGACCTCCAGGAATGCAGTAATCAGCAGAATAGGCGAGTAGATAATGCCCATGATCACATCGTTCAAGCTGGCATAGTACTGCCGTGGCAACCACCACTCGAAGGGGAGAACTAGGAAGATAATCTCCAGCAAGTTGAAGGCTTCATTGTAGACATTAGCCCCAGCTCATATCCGGGAGCAACAGAACTTACGAGGTATAAAGACGTTTTCGTCAGGAGCCCGGACAAATTGCATGGTCTTCAGCGCAAAGGCGGCCATGTATTCATCAATGGCATTTCCAGAGATGTCCTCATAGGCACTGTTGTACAACGCAATGAGGATATTTAGCAAGACTAGCAATAGTCAGTCACCATAGCGAAGTAGAGAGCGGGGCACTCACTCGTCATCACCACGAAGTTGAAAAGGTAGTAGAGAATGATGCCGAAAGGAAAAGCAAAGTCTTCGAAAGTGCCGAACTCCGGACTCTGCATGATACTGTTCGCCATACCCTGGATGATGCTTCTCGTGATCGGAATGTCATTGTCCACTTGAGCCATACCAATGAAAGCTTGGAAGAAACCCGCCAGCACGACAAAGAGAAGAGCAAAAAATATCAAGCTCTCTTTCATCATGACCCGTAGCACCACAAACATAGCACCGAAGAACCGGAATGAGTCGAGATAGAGCATCATGCGCATCCAGAACATGGGTCCTGCGAAGGCTAGAAAGTTGTAACTGAGCTCATTGAACTTCTGCCGTTCGGCATCATGCACCGACGGGGAATGAGCCAGAGCCACAACTCGTAGAACGAAGGAAACCACCAGGAGAGAATAGAGGGTAGAGTTGAAAGCGTTCCAGAAATCGATGTAATGCCAGCCGACCTTCCAGACCTTGGCGATCTCATCACAAATAAATGCGAGAGTCATCACATAGAGAACACCTTCGACCACATCCAAATCACCAGAGGGATTGACCGTGTTAATGACCTGGGTATACAGACCGAGATACACCAGAGAAAAGAAAATCTGACAAACGTTTTGATAAAGAGGTGTCCGCATACGATCGGGATGGAAATGGACCTTGAAACTCGTATTGTCCCTCTCCTGGTAGGGCACGAAGTTGGTGGGATTACCTTCCTGCTGGCAGTACCAACCATTCCAGAGATAGCGGATACACTTCTGGTATCCAGAAGACCCGATCACCCTGAGGGCATGGAGGTCGACCGCGCGCTCAATGACATTGGCTGGCACGGTCTCCTCGCCATCAAGAAAGAGTGAATACCGTTTCAGCAAGACCTGCGCAAGGAGGGCATCTTGATCTTCCTCGCTCTCAATTCTAGAAACAGCCAGTCTAGTCAGTCCGCGTTATCACGAGGCTTGGATAACCCTACATGCGCTTCGCGATGACTTCACATGCAAGAGCTCGACGTTCATGCAGGTCTGAATCCCAGAGCTCTTCCAGAGCCTGGATCTTGAACCAACGTAAGCATACGAGCAGGCAGAAGGGCACGCAAGCCCGTAACTCATCGCCACCCGCCTGACAAGCGGTCTGGATGACATTCTTGGTGATAATCCGACTGTTGGGAGCGGTGAGGGCATCCTCATCGACCTCACACGATATAACCTGCTCGATCTGGTATTTAAGTCGAAGCGCAATCCTAGTTACCTCCTTAGAGGGGCACGTAGAGGAAACTTCATCGTCGGTGAAGGTGGGGAGCACTACCATGGCCGTTAGCTGCCTGATTTCCGGCTCGTATTCTACGCTGGGTTGCACAATGACATGACGTACGACGGTGTCGCTCCATATGCCGACGATGTCGAGTCCGCACAGGGTCAGTGGTAAAAATATCTCGCCAATGGCCCATCCTTTACCGAGACAATCGAAAGGTCGACGTGGGTGAGAGAAGACTGGGTTGAGTGGGAAGAGTCGAGAACTTGGGAGGACAAGCTGAATGAATGAACGGGCGATGATGGGTAGACGGTATACCCAAAACGGCGTCTAGTCTAGGTCCAAACAAGTCGAGCATCCCGCCTGCCCCACCAATTTACTTTTCCTCAATGACTTACAGTGCCATTGAGACTTTTTTTTTTATGGCACTGCACTCAAAACCACTACTCACTGCCCACGTGGAATCAAAACCTAGCTACGGCAAGCATGGCTGGAAGAATTATCCTCCCACTCCCACACCTGGTAACATCGACATCATCAGGCGTATAGCCATAAATAAAGTCATAGTCAATGAAAGAACAGCAGAAAAGGGATTTTGAGTCAGTGTCTAACATGGCCACTGGCGAGAAATCGTAGATCAAAGAAGCTTATGTACACCAGAATCTGCGAAGCTCCTCTCGGTCGGAGGCCAGTCCTCACCAGAGGCGTAACCAGCAGCTACTGCAGTGGCTTCCTCAACACATGAGACCGAAGGTTGCCCCCTCGTTTCCTCACATGGTCTCGACCATCGCCGATGATCTCGATTCGCCCCGTCGCGCGTCAAACCGTACCTCCGTCTCATAAAATCGTGTCACGTCCAAAAACTCTATTGAACTTTTCCGATCCCTGTCCATCGTGCTCAACCATGTCCTCTGATACTCGATACTGATTAATCACAGTTCGTTAGACGAACTGTTGTATCCTCCACCGTTGACCATCATTTGAGCAAGCCCGTAGACCACCAGACGGTATCAGTCGGCATATCCATGCGCGATTTACTCAAGGTTACCCTCATCGCTCTCAGAATCATCCTCATCACCGCTGACCAACATGACCTCACGCTCACGCTTCTCCATGAGCTCCTGGAGGGCAGCATCATCGTGCTCAGTAACGGCCTTGGGAGCCATCTTGACCGTGCAGGCACCGCCGGACTCCTTGATCTTGGCCTCAATCCGTTGAATGGCCTCCTCGAGCTGCTGGATACCGATAGCCTTGTCCAAGCACTGGCTAGTCAAGACGTACAAGGGCGGGGCGACCAGCTTGACCTTGATCTGGCTTTCGGCGGAGTTGTTGGCCTCAGCGGTGCGCAGGGCCTCCTTGACTGCATCGATACCATCGTAGCCGAAGCAGGTAACCTCAATATCGGCACGGACCTTGGTGGGGTGAGGGGTGAGTCTCTTGCTGATATAATGCGTCAACTCCTTCTTGACAGCTTCGCTGGGGAATTCGACGTCGTTCCACACATCGGGGTTCCTAAGATAACCATAAGTTACACGGTCCATCGGTGGCATTGTTGCCCGCGAGTGCAGCCTTACGTGATGGAGATCTTGAAAGCATCGTGGGAGTGGCCGTATTTGCGGTTCAAGGGCCATCCGATCTGCTGGTATAAGGTCTCAAGAGGGGTTTGGGTGGCCTCGGCGACATGGCGCATGATGGAGTGCACGGCCTTGCTCTTGTTGTATCTCTCCTCACACTTGATAACATCCTCGGGGGAAACACGACGCTTGGACAGATCGATATAACCTGATGACGGGGAACAAAGAGATGTCAGCGGGCCCCAGTTCGATGACGGCCAGATCAGTTGCCCTTACCCTTCTCCTTATCCACACGGAGCACGATGACGACCTCGTTACGGCCAATACGGATGAGCTTCTGGATACTGCGAATACGTCTGCGCGACAGTTCGGAGAGCAGGATCATGCCGTCGATGTTGTCATATTCCAGCAGCTTCACGTATGCGCCCATTTCGGCGATCTACGCATTGCAGAACCGCGACTGTCAGCCAATGTCTCCTACCGTCACTTCTCCCAGATCCAGCAGATGCATACCTGCTTCACATTGACCATGACATAGCTGTCCACCTCCGGGTACTTCTCCTCGTAGAAACGGGAATTTGTCAACGACATTTTCGGCGGGGTTGCGCCTTGTGCTGGGCAGAGCTTTGAGCGGGGTGGAAAGGTCGGACTGGGGCCGGGAGAAAATGGGATAAACGAGACTGAACGGTCTCAAGTCGATATTGCCGGGAGAACCACCGAAAGGGGAGTGAAGGTGTTTGCGAGATGGGGTAACGAGGCTTGCCACTTAATCGGGATCACAGAAGCACATTTCGAAAAACCCACATTTGGGCCTCGCGCTTGGCTGAGTCATCACGTGCCATGCGGGTGATTCTCACCGCTCGGCAGAATCCACCCGATAGATAATGGCTCTAGTACGATAAGGTAGGCATTACTTCATCCCCAACCTTTTAACTTGCCATTTCTTTGCCTCTTACCACCCACTGGGATTAATTAATCACTCACTCTTTTAGATGCGTGTGGTGGCGGGGTGAAAGGAGATTGGAAGGGAGCTCCAGCTTCAGACACGTTGCTCGGCACCGATTTTCTTTTCTCTTCCGCCCCATTGGTCTTTTGGTATGTGCCTTCGTCCAATGTCTACTAAGTTACCCTATCCTATCCTATGGCTTTGCTTGCTCCGCCTATCTGCTGACGATCCCGCTAACTCTCTTAGCAGTAGCCACCGCGCCCTGCGCTACGAATTCCGCGCTTTTTGACTCGCTGCTTTGCCCTGGACAGTCCATCTCCTAGTTGTGCTATCTTAGTTGTTTCATTCTTTGGAAATATTTTTGCAATCTCTTTTCTTTCTACCACATCTGCCGCATATGGCGTTTAACGCACTCCTCTAGACTGTCGCATTCCAGATATATTTGGTGACTCGGTGGATCTTCCTCGCGACATTATGCCGGAGACAAACGAGCATCTCCGACAACACCGCTCTTTGCGGGATCAGATCGTGGGCCTTTTTCAAGGATTTTCGCGAAGCAGCTCCGATGCCTCCCACACAGAACGGATCATCGTGCCCCGAGAACCTAGCGACAGAACCCGCTTGCTGAAATCCTACGATGGCGATGACCCTGCATGTGGTCTGAGAGATGCTTGCAACCACGGTACATTTTCACCAAGACCGGGCAGTGAGGAATACCACGATGGTACTCCTGGGCCAGATTTTGTCCAGGGGCCCGAGAATATGCCCAGGACAGGGTCAACGGCAGCCTGGCCGGCGAAAAGCTACAGGTCTCTGTATGTTTGGGCTTCAAGTCGGTTTAACTGGGCGCAAATGCTGATGGCAACAACCTCCAGGTATATCTCATACTACATCCCGTTATTTAATTGGATACCCCAATATCGTTGGTCGTTCCTGCGCGGCGACCTCATCTCCGCCTTGACAATCGCATCGATCTATATCCCAATGGCTCTTTCTTTGGCCTCGAATCTTGCTCATGCACCTGCAATCAATGGACTCTACTCTTTCGTGTTCCAACCTTTTATCTACGCAATCCTTGGAAGCAGCCCCTTGTTGCTTCTCGGCCCAGAAGCGGCTGGGTCTCTGTTGACAGGTACCATTGTCAAATCGAGTGTCTCGCAGGGACTGTCACGAGAGGATGACGAAGCTGCGAGCGCCATGGTTGTCGGCGTCGCAACTGCCATGGCAGGCTCAATGATACTCGTAGCTGGATTGACCCGGTTAGGCTTCCTAGACAACGTCTTGAGCCGACCGTTTCTCAGAGGCTTCATCACCGCAATTGGCTGTGTCATCTTTGTCGACCAGCTCATCCCAGAAGTGGGCTTAGCTGACCTGGCGAGGGATGCGGGCGTCAGTCATGGAAGTACAGCAGAGAAGCTCGTCTTCCTGCTCCGGAATCTCAAGAGCTGCCATGGTCTGACAGCCGCAGTCTCCTTTACCAGCTTCACGATAATCATGCTTTTCAGGTACGTGATTTACCCCCCAAATGGAGTGGTCGAGTCTCTAACATGCGGATCACACAGAACACTCAAGAAATTCTTGGAGCCACGGTTTCCTCAGGTTGTCTACTTCCCCGACCGGATTATCGTTGTCATCTTGTCAGCCGTTCTTACCTGGCACCTCGGCTGGTATGAGAAGGGGCTTGAAATCCTCGGGCCCGTCCAGGAGACAGGCAATGGGATCTTTGCGTTCAACTGGCCTTTCCAATTCCAGCATATGAAGCATGTACGGACAGCCTTGAGTACGTCCTTTGTCATTGCATTGCTTGGCTTCTTTGAGTCCTCCGTTGCTGCCAAAGGGCTGGGCGAGAAACGAGATGGAGTGCAGGGCATGCCCGTGAGCGCCAACAGAGAAATGGTGGCGCTGGGCGTTGCAAATGTTGTTGGTGGCTGTTTCATGGCGCTTCCTGCATTCGGTGGTTACGGGAGAAGCAAGTTGAATGCTTCCACAGGGGCGCGATCCCCGATGAGCAGTATCTTCTTGAGCATCATCACCGCCGTCTGTATCAAGGTGATCCTGCCTTATCTGTACTATTTACCGGTGAGTTGGTCCCTATACTTATACCATTCGATTAAAAACTGACGGCATATTCCAGAAAGCCGTGCTTTCCTCTACAATTTCAGTGGTGGCATACAGTCTAATAGAGGAGTGTCCTCATGATGTGGCTTTCTTCATTCGCTTGCGTGGTTGGACAGAGCTCACATTGATGATTCTTATCTTCGGCTCGACAATTTTCTACTCCTTAGAACTGGGCATTGCGCTGGGAATCGGATTGTCTATTCTAATCCTGATTCGCCACTCCACCCAGCCTCGAATCCAGATTCTCGGTAAGGTCGCTGGTACAAATGATCGATTCGACAACGCTGAACTCCACGGGGAAAACGTGGAGCTCATTGAGGGTGCGCTCATCGTTAAGATCCCGGAGCCCCTGACGTTCGCCAACACCGGCGACTTGAAGAATCGTCTGCGCAGGCTCGAATTCTACGGCACCAACCAAGCGCACCCTTCCCTCCCGCGCTCGCGACCCCCCGAGCATAACAAGAACATCATCTTCGACGTGCATGGGGTCACCAGCATCGATGGCTCCGGGACACAGGTTCTCTCCGAGATTGTGAATGAGTATCTCAACCTCGGAGTGAGAGTGTTCTTCTGCCGTCTTCCCAATCGCAATGTCTTCCGCATGTTCGAAAGGAGCGGCATCGTCGACCGCTGCGGCGGCATGCAATATTTTGTGCACAGTGTTGATGAAGCACTGAGACTTGCCGAAGCAGAGGGTGGACCCTTGGAGCCTTGAGCTCCTCGTCGCAAGGCGAGCCAAGTTCGCCTCTGGGAGGGCTGTTCGCATTTGGTTCTCCCCTTCGGCATCAATGCCATGTATAGACGTGACACGTGTTTCCGATATATCGCTTGACATTTTTTGCTGGTTATAGCCCCCGTTAGATTTGCTGATAGCGATGGAAGCCCTAGAGCTCCAACCCTTGGTAATTTGATTAGAGCTTACCTTTTCTTTCCCTGCGTAAGGGTGGCATGCTGCATTCAGCCTTCAAGAGACCCATGGCTCTCACCCTCCACCCCGGCTGCTCGCCGCACCACGTCTAGAAGCAGCATCTCAGCGGCGCGTAAAGCAACCCGATCCTTAAGACTCAACACAGTAGCGCCAGCAGCAGGAGGAGGAAGTCCCCCACCATCGTGTTCCTCGTCGTCGTCCTCCTCACCATCCTCAGCACCCACCTGCCCGGCACCGGCACCGGCACCAGCACCGGCAACCCCAACCAACTTCATCTTCCCATCCGCGCCCAACATAAACCCCCCACAACTAACCCTCGTCACCCTCACCACATCCCCACCCCCAAGCCCCTTCCCCTCTTTCAAATCCACCCTCATCGCCAGATGCGTATCCAGATACCCCGCGATCTTCCCCAGCATATCCCCACCCCCGGACTGATCCCCCTCAGAAACCCCCCCAATTAAACCCCCAACCACCCCCCGTGGCAAACAAACATCCAACCCGCGCAACCCCGGCGCCACCGGCCCCTGAAACCCAAGCACGATATGCACATCCCGAACCACTGCCCCGACCACCTCTTCACCGCCACCCTCAACCGCAGCCCCACCCTCAACTTTGCGAGCCTCCTCGCGAACGCAGGAGAGATACCCCTCCAACGACCCACCCAGGAACCCAGACGGGAGGGTCAAGCCCGCGGCGTACGTGTCGAACGTCGCAGATAGAAAGGCCAGGAAGGTGTGGCGGAGCGTGGCGGGGAATTTGGTGAGGAGAAGGGGGAGATGGGTTGTTTGAGTGTGGGCGTGCGAGCGGAGGGTTCGGTGCGGGGCGTGGGAGCGGGCGTGGGAGCTTGATGGAGAGGGTGCGCTGGTTGTTGTGGAGGTGGTATAGGTGGAGGATACGGCGGAGGGCGTGAGGAGGGCGGCGCGGTAGGTTTGGGTTTCGTAGGTCAGGGTGATTAGGATGCCGGCGCCGGGGGTGCCGGGGGTGGTTGCTGGGCGGCGCGGGCGGCCGCGGGGGCGGGAGGGGGTTGGGTCGTTGATGTTGTTGTTTGTGGAGGGCGAGGGCGAGGGCGAGGGCGAGGGCGAGGGAGAGGGCGAGGGGTTCGTGGTGGTTATCGCCCTGGTGGTTGTGGTGGTTGCGTGGCCGGACAGGGAGAGCGTGGGGATGGGTTCCCAGGTGCAGGAGAGTAGGGCGCCGGTTTTCGACCGGGGGTCTGCTTCGTCGGAAGCGCCGACTGTTTGGAAGGTTGCGCCGGAGACGGAGGAGGTGCCGGTGAGGTGGTCGCGGAGGCGGGCTGCGTAGGTCTTCAGGGCGTGGTGGTTGTCGAGGAGGGAGGGGAATTCTTTGCCATGGTGCAGCGGGGAGAGTCGGTGTAAAGTCCAGGTTGTGTTGAGGAGGCTCAGGTGGGCCATTGTTGCTTGGGGATTATGGTGGTTACTATGTTTTGTGATTGTAATGGTGGAAAAAGAGGGAGGAAGATAGGGAGAGAGCGGAGGAGGAGAGTTTCACATGTCGCGCCGGACTTGGTAGATGCACAGAAAGTTACTGAGTAGTTACTCCGTAAGTTCGCCCGCGGAAGAAAACCATCTCTTGGCAGGGAAGAGCTGCCGCTAACCCCGCCTTGCGCAAGATTTACCTCGGAAGAATTCTAACTTTCTAACCTTTAAACAACAATTCACAGTCAATACGTAGTCTGATTTGGAGTCTTGTGCCGATTCCGAAATATGCTAGAAATTCAAATTGACGCTGCGGCGTTGCAGTCATAAAGTTGACACCCGCTGCGTCCCCCGCCATCATAGACACCGAAAAACCCCCTTCCCGCTGGAACCTGGAACGCCTTGCCTCAAAAAACCAGAGAATATGCAGGATAACGCAGCGCTTGCTAAACCCAAACCGGAATGATTCACGCATGCCAGCCCTCTCTCACGCGGCACTCGCGACAGGACAACAAGACCGGCAGCCCGGGCCAGACCATGACGCGATCGACATCATGGGGCGCCGCATGCCTCGAAGCCAGCTCTTCCCCTACCACATCGAACCAGACGTCTTCTACCGATCCGTGGAGGTGAACGTTTGGCGAGATCTGGAACACCAAGGACTGAATGTCGTCCTTCTCGTTCAACGTGATATCGTTGTGGAAATTGTGCATAAACTCCTTTCGCTGCATTCGCTGACTCCCGCCGTCCCCAATCTCCGCAGAGAAATACTCCACGATCCGCGAGAACGGGGATACGGTGAGCAGTGACCCAATCCAACTGTCATCCGACACCGTAGGCTCATCCGGTGGTACCGTATACCGCAGGTAGGAGACTAGGAGTTGCATGCAGTGGTGCGTGGCTATAAGAGTCGCCGTATCGGTGAAAGGGGGTGCCTTGATTATCTTTACTTGCAGCTCCCGGTACATGACTTTACGAATGTGAGGGGGGATGGGAACCGGAAGACGCCCGGCCTCAAATTCCCGGAGGAGGATGTTGGTTTGCTCTCGTCTAGCGAGAGCATAGGTTTCCAAAAAGTAGAGAGCATAGTACCTGGGGCAAGGAGTCATATGTCAGAGGAACTCCATCGGAGACAAGTCGCAGGGTGATACTCACATCAGGGGAGTGAGGTAGAACCACAAACGCGCGGTCGTCTGCTGCACAAAAGCAGACCGCTCGGCCTTGGAGGAGAAAACCGACTTCATAAAGCCTGGCTCACTGTGCACGAACCGATCCATGACACGATCCGCAAGGTAGCAGCTCAACTTTGAACATTGCTTCTGCCGACGGCGCAAACTGAAGATGTACTTGAAGGTGTAGATATGGCCCCCCCTGGCACTCTTCGCAGGAGGGAACAGGTCCGACAGAAGCACTACATCATCCTCCGGACTTCTAGTATAGGTTTTCTCGCCGTCGATAGGGGAGGGAAGCGTTCCGCCGCGGCGTTGTCGCAGATACTGCCGGGTGATCCATTGTTCTTGGGAGGTCAGTAGCTGATAGAATGACTTGCAGACCAGCTTCAGCGGTAATAAATCGGTGACGCCGCAGTGGGCGAATATCTTGATCTGGATTTCAACGGGGAGGAGGTCCCAGGGGGCCGAGGTCGGTACTATGTCCACTCTGTCAACATTGGGAAAACCCACGTCAGTAACGAGCACGCCTCGAGGCTTGAGCGTCGGTCATCTATCTTCCGCAGGGGCGGTCCAACGTACAACGACACGGAAGATGGCACTGCACCGTGTTTGGAGGAATTGCTCTTCTTGGCGTCGGATCTCTTGCCTCTGTTGATGGCAGCGCGTGCTTTTTTGGCTTGCAGCATAAAATTGTGGAATGTACTCATCGTCAAGTACCATTCGACATGAGGAGGCCAGCTCCAACTTCAGCACTTTGAGAATAGACAGCTTGACACCATAGAGAGCCCTGATTTCTCTCGTCGATCGTTTAAAAGGGATTCTCCACTGGCGCCTTTTGGGGGGTAGAGGGGCGATGACTAAGCAGGGCTGAGCAAGAGGATTGTTGCTAATTTAGAAGCAGGCCACGAATAGAAGCGGACCACACGGGGTGTATAGGCTGGGTGAGGTGAATCTGGTGTAGGTAGAGGTAGATAGAGGCGAGATCATGTTCAAAAGATGAGACTAGAGAAGGAGAGAGAATGGAGACGGAGGCAGATACGGTCGTCTGAAACGGACTGCTGATTGGGGGCTGGATTCACTACTCGTGGCGACTGAGTGCAAGAGATGACCAGTCACTGACCAGTCAAGCGTTGCAATCGCGTCGAATTCCGCTTAAGCGGCGGCTAACTAACCATTAGCCAGCATAGTCTAATGACAGGTGAGAAGGAGGGGTGATTTTATGTCAACTTCGCAGACATGCATGCATAATAAGGTAATCAAAGGATTGGAGAGGGGTAAGTAATGTCAACTTAGAAGCAAGCCGTGTCACAATCCGGAGTCGGACTTACGTCATTAGGAACAGGGGTCAGCACCAGCTATTGTTCACTTCTTCCACAACGAGGGGCACGCTGGGCATCAATCTTGCCCTGCACAGCTCACTTAATCTGAGAATCCAACCTCCTTTGTACTGAGTCACCAAGTCTTGCCGATAGGAACTATGTCCGAGAATATCCTCATCGTCGGTGCTACCAGAGGCTTGGGGTCATCCCTCAAGACTCTATATGCAGGGAGACAATCCACGAAGACGGTTTTTGCAACCACCCGAGATTCTACGAAGCCAAAAGACGAGCCTCTCGTCTCATGGATTCCGAACATTGACGTGTCCAAACCTGATGTCGGCCAAAGTTTGGTTTCCCAGCTGTCCTCATCTGAGAAGATCTCAACAGTCATCATCTCCGCGGGCTATTTTGGGTTCGAGACATTTGATGATCCCGATTGGGAGAAACAAGTTAAGATGTATACCACCTCTGCTATTGGGCCTGTCTTTCTAGTCCATCACCTGGCCAAAGCCGGACTCTTGGAGGCCGGTAGCAAGATAATTCTGGTCAGTAGCGAGAGTGGAAGCATTACGTTGCGTCATGAGAAGGAGGGTGGCGGAAATTATGGTCACCATGCCAGCAAAGCAGCTCTTAATATGGTCGGGAAGCTGCTGAGTTTGGACCTCAAAGACAAAGGAATCGCTGTCGGCATAGTCCATCCTGGGTTTATGCGCACGGAGATGACAAAGGGTGTGGGATTTGACAAGTACTGGGATGCCGGCGGAGGTAAGTCGTCGAATCGTTTGCATGTGTCACCTGTTTCTCGTTTAGAGACACACTGACCACTTGTCCTTGCAGCTGTCACCCCAGATGAGGCAGCAGAATCGCTCGCTTCATTTACAGACACGTTTGACATCAGCAAGACCGGACAATACTGGGCACCGCGGGGCCCCAGGTTTGTGTAGCCCTTTTTGAATATTCAGAGAACCAAGCTAATCTGGCCAGGGACATCGGGACTGCCGAGCCTGTCCTAGGTAGCGACTTGCCGACACCCCTCCAACTGCCCTGGTAGAAAGCTTTTGCAATGTTGAAGCTAGGGCTGGTACTGTGGTAACCAGAAAGCTCCGTTTCTTCGTTTGAAGGTAGCTTATCGATCAGTAGCACTGGACATATGCTGTGCAGGATTTCATCGATACGAGGCATAGATTGCTTGTTGTAGGATTGAAAAGTGCTGTCAGTTGAGATCGGTCGAGGGTCTAGCCTATAGAGCTCTGGCCGGTTTGGCGATACGAGAGTGACTATGGAGATGTAAAGAGAGGACAAATACATTGGATCTCCCATGAGTTCTGACCTGTATATCAGCTGGGGCTGAAGCCAAAGAACACCAACTGGAGGCCGGTCAAGGCGGATCGAAGAGCAAAAAAGAGAATCGGCTTGCATCATCCGTGAATCGAACACGGGCCTCATCGATGGCAACGATGAATTCTACCACTAGACCAATGATGCTTGTTATTGAGAACTGCTTTGACTGTACATAGATAAGCCTAAAACCTAAAAAAGACGTCTCGCTGTGGTGGTCCGTAGCTTGGTGATAACAATTCCAGCTAACGTGCTGTTTACTGCGTGTTGCAATGTTGAATCCCACCACAGGTCCGACAATATAGCCTTGTAATTATCTTCGCCGCAATGGATATTTGGCATACCTAGGCATTCATAACATTTCGGCTCAGCCATAAAGCAGGTTTTCCGACCCGCGGACTGCATGCACACGAGGAATGCCATCCCGAGCCGATAATGACATATTGTTTGGTCTAGGCTGGAAATCGCCTTCATGCCAGCTCGATCTCTGCATTCATGCTTGAAAGTTTAGAGCACAGCCCAGGGTCATACCCCTTTCCAGGAGGAACATTCAATTGACAGGATGTAGAAGGTGTGCCGACCGTTCTGTTTGTCACGCAAACCATAAGCATGTCGATCGAGGATTGGAATAGACCCCGACCATCAATGAAGTAGGGACCAACCTCTGGTTCTAGTAATTGAGATTAGCAGCGGTCAAGTATGCGATCCAGCGGAAATATGCGTATGACCCACTACCAAAGCACCATAGCCTGAGGCCAACGGTTGTACTGAGCACCAACGATTGTGGTGGGATTGCCGCATTGACTTCTTCTCTGCCGATGCTACTATCCATTCCGGTCCCTGTACCGCCTTGAGTGTCACACTATAGCATGACGATAATTGCATCATGTTGTTTATCACCACACGAAGCAATGTAGGACCTGCTTGAAGCACCCACTGCGCATTTGAGCATACCCCCAGATCAGGCAATCGGCCTTGACTTCTTGGTGGCACAGGGCAGCACTATTAGTTCAACCTTAGCCCGACGACACACGAAGGAAGGATGAAGGATCATGGCACAGCCCCGTCGCGCCCGATCCCTTGGCGGAAAAAAAAGTGGGGTCATGCACCGTGCCTTCCTTTCTACCAGTCAGTGACTCAGCATACTTAACAGAAGACAATAGGAAGTCGTATCGGGTGACACAACAAATCACAGGATAAGTTGTTGACCCAGGTTATTTGCTGCGGTATATACTTTGTCCAACGGGCTCAGCCCGCCGGGCGTATATTTTACAATTTCCAATGCCGAACATCCGTCGCATTTCGCGCTAAATCCTTCGCTTTTCCTCGGGGGAAAGTAGACGTATGCCAAGGTTGGCAACACTAGTGTCCAAGGCGGGTCCACGGTCAAAAGACTCAATAGTTTATAGGGCTGTGCACCGCAGAGCCTCAGATGCGACGGGAAATACGTACCTCATTGACCTGACCTAATGATGACCAGTCGAGGGACTAGAAAACGTCTGGAAGTATTGGTCCCTTCACGTGGACAGGATGACAGTAGATCTGGGTGCCCCGCTCAACAAGGCACAGTATCCCAGGGTACCAGGGCAACGATGCAAAGGAATGTCGAACCAAACAACGTTGCAGTAGGGGCATCCCGATCGTCCCGTCCATGTGTCGAGTGTCCAGTTTTGATGTAGGGATTGGATCCGTATGGTTGGCCAGCTCTTTTTGCTTTTCGCAAGTGATGTAATAGGTGATCGACCGGGGGTGGTCGGTATTGGCTAGTGAATGGCTCCGAGATTTGAGACCGGATAAGACGGCCATTTTTTGAACTGGCACGCATTGGTTCTCTTGCGGACTAGTTTCTAGGCTGAACGCTAGGCAATTAAACAAGAAGGTCTGCTGTGAAAGGAGAGCTTTGATCGACCTATGGTGAATATTGATGTGGGGAGCCCAGGAACTCTAAGAGTATCAAAGGTTCTTGAAGTCTGCCTCAAGGGGCTCTAAGCCTCCCTCCCGAGTTCCGAAAGGTAGGGGCGAGGGGCGAGGGGCGAGGGCGGTGAATCTCTGCTGCTGCTCTTATGATGAGTTGTGAGCTCAGCCTTGGACCCTGTTCCAATGAGAGCGACAGCAAGGTCAGATTTGAGTTGGCCAAGAGGCGGCAGCCTGAGGAATCAAGGGCCTCGAGGCGGCGGCCCCGAATAGCCTACTCCGGAGTAGTTGGTAGGAATGGGCCAGACCCCACAGCTGGGCGAAGCCAACTTAGTCCTACACATACTATGTACATGTGTAGATCCACTTGATAGGTGATACCCCTTGGCTCATGCGGAGAAAGAATATCTGATCTCCGGGCAAGTGACATGGAAGGATCGATGAATGACGGTAGAGTACAGTTAGTGCGGCAGTACTCCAGGCTAGTGAATGGACTAGTTGCATGCGGTAGGTGCCGTTGGCAGCTTTGAGCTTTGGGACCAAACGAAAAGTAAAATGTCCGACAGCTGCGAGCGCCCCTCCCCTCCCATGGTCGGACGACTCACACACCAGCTCGACTACTATTTAATCATCTCTTCCCCTCCTTCACGGCCCTGCTGTTTGACTTCATCCATCATTCCTCAATTTAACCTTGCATTTATCTTGAGGTATCTTCCCCTTGCCTGGTAAATATCGTACCACTTCATCTCTCCGACTATTGTATACAAACGGTCGCGCATAAACCATCGTCACTCATACAATCTGAAACACATACCAATCATGTCCGACATCAATGGAAAAGCGCCTGCTCAGCCGGTGGACCCCCGCCCCTCGCCTTCGGCGCGCAATAATTTGGTCAACGTGCAGCCGGCGCGCCTAGAGGACTTGCAGCCCAAGTACGCTCAGCAAATCCAGCACAGCGAGGACAACCCGGACGCGCATGGCTGGTACGCAGGATTCAGTGAGTTCACCTGATGCAATGAGATCCTTGTTTTTCCTAGTTCCCGGTCTAACAAAGCACCTCCCTGGGTAGTTCACGGACTGGGAGAGTTTATCGGATGTCTGGGTGCCATACCATGCTGCTTTTGTTGCCCAAACCCCTTCAAGCCGGTTGCACAAGGTGAAGTCGGCTTGATCACAAGATTCGGACGGTATGTGACTTTCGCTCTCCCTTGTACTCCCATGCCTGCGTTGAATCGCATATACTGATGTTTCGCGCTCTTAGATTCGAGCGCGCTGTCGACCCGGGTCTCGTCAAGGTGAACCCTCTTAGTGAGCACCTCACGGCTGTGGACGTCAAGATCCAGATTGTTGAAGTGCCTCGCCAAAGCTGCATGACCAAGGATAACGTCAATTTGAACCTGAGCTCCGTTATCTACTACCAAATCGTCTCGCCCCACAAGGCTGCATTCGGCATTTCCAACATCCGACAAGCGCTCGTAGAGCGCACTCAAACCACCTTGCGCCATGTGATCGGAGCGCGGGTCCTGCAAGATGTGATTGAGCGCCGTGAAGAAATCGCCCAGTCGACATCGGAGATCATCGAGGACGTGGCCTCCGGATGGGGTGTCGCAGTCGAGTCGATGCTCATTAAGGATATCATTTTTAGTAATGACTTGCAAGACTCACTCTCTATGGCTGCGCAGTCCAAGCGCATTGGTGAGAGTAAGGTTATCGCTGCCCGGGCTGAAGTAGAGTCGGCCAAGCTTATGCGTCAGGTGAGTTTCAAGCGCTATTCCCGTTACATCCAGGTCGCAGTGACTAATTCAACCCTTTCAGGCCGCCGATATCCTGTCCTCGGCTCCTGCTATGCAAATCCGCTACCTTGAGGCGATGCAAGCCATGGCCAAGACGGCCAACAGCAAGGTCATCTTTCTCCCAGCAATGAACCAGACAGTGCAGCAGCAGCTTGCAGCAGCTGAAAATGCTGGGGAGGGGCCAAGCCGATATGGACAGCAAGCCGAAGATGGATTTCAGCGTGCAATGAATGCACGTGTGGTCGAGAATATCTAAGCACCACGGCATTGTTTTCTGTGATATGGCGGAAATTAATGCTTAAAATGATGAGTTTGATGGAGATGTCGCGTGGTTGGACATGTTTGGATCTTGCCCATGACGTTCTCTAAGACGGCGTTGCTGCTGCTACATTGTGCTTTTCACATGGATGCTGCAGTTTGCATTCATCTGCGGATGATTTTGACGATACCCACCCTCGTTTTCGCTTTTGCTTATGATACTCCCGGAATGCGTTTGACCTTCTTCGTTGATAGTTTCTGCTATCGCTTCGCTAATATCCTTGACCTGATAATATTATTGTGCTCCAATCGAGACTAGCTCGATGACGGTTTTATCATCGCAGCTACCACCGTACTTTACCTAAGTTGAAAGCTCAGTAAACTAGAAGCGGTATCAGAGAGATCCATGTTTCTAGAACCACAGAAAAGGTTATTCTAGATATATTTCCCCCACTGGTGTAGTACATACAGTGCATACTGCCGTAGGCGGTGTGCGGCCGAGTGCGGAGGTATTTGTATGGGGAACGGCGACAATCCCGCAACAACGCCCCCCCATGTCCTCAAGTTCGCATAGCCAATTGTTCAGCTCCCTTACTTTTGGTATCTTGTCATCCCTGGCAGTCCGCCGATGAAAATAAGCGCATAATCAACCGATAGATTCGTCGCCCAGGGGATCCCAGACTGAAAAGAAGAGTAAAAAACCAGCGAAGGTCAAGCCAACATGGCTCCCTCCAAGACCCCCAGTCCAGCGCCCCCCCAAGCCAGCGCGCGACCGTCCCTCGAGCAGAACCTCAACCCCGACTTCATCGACCCGTCCTTCGATCCCGCCGAATACCTCAACAATGCACTCCCTGCCCTGACGCTGGCGTCTTCGCAGTCGATCACCAGCAGCAGCAATCCCCGAGGGGCGACCGCCGGCTTGCCCGAGATGTCCACTCAAATCCAGTCCGTTCTCTCGCAGATCAGCGCGCACAATGTCCGGCATTCGAGCACGCTCACGCGATTGACTGATGAGATCCTACGGGGCGGCAGTCGGTTGGCCTACGAGGTGGAGGTGCTGCGCGGCGAGACGATCGCGCTGTCGGATACGCTTGCGGAGGCGCTACGTGGGGATATCGCTAAGTTTGTTCCGGAGGGCCACCCGGAGGGCCACCCGGAGGGGTTGGTAGATAAGGGGGAGGGCCACGATCGTGACCCCGAAGCTGTCGATGTCGGAGCGGGGGATGTGGATGGCAAGGCCGAGGAGACGGAAGCAGAGGCAGAAGCTGCTACGATACAGGACCCGGAGTTCATTACGAAGTTACGTATGCTGAATCAGGTGCGGGCTCGGTTGGAAGAGGTCGTGCAGACGTTCGGGGACGCGATGGAGTGGCCCATCCCGCCGTCGGAGACCTCCCTGGCTTCGTCGTTTATCTCAGTGTCGGCGCCAGAGGCCGGGCCGGAGAATCAAAGTCGGGAGGAGAAGGGGCAGGAGGCGGCCAGGCGACTGCGGGCGGAGGTGACGGGCCTTCTGGAGAGTAATGATGGCGGTCTGGAGGGGGTGGAGGCTGCGTCGCGCCGGGTCGAGGCGCTGCGGACGTTGGCGTTGGTCTGGAAGGGGACGGCCGAGGAGAAGGCTCGGACTCGCGCGGTGGACAGCCTGGCGAAAATCGTTGAGGATCGTCGCAGAGCTCTGGAGAGCCAGAGCCGAGCGGACTCGTCGCAGCAAGCTTCTGGCGCCTCTACTAAAGCACAGTCGGCGGGCCACCGACGGCAGGAGAGCGAAGGCCCGGCCGGTGGCATCTTCCGCAACTTGCAGCGGTTACGAGAGGAGATCTATCTTGAATGAGATGATAGAGATTACAATTAATCATGAGCATATTTATGTCCCAGCAAGTAGAAGCAAAGCTTCTTACTAACCATTCGATCTGTTGCATGGTATCACTGGTGCGGAGATTCTTGGAATGAATATCTATCTCAGCTGTCCATGGTCCCTCTTCCATGTTGGGAAGGGGAGGGGTAAGAATGCTGCTGCTTGCACGGGAGACTGTGTGATAGGACGGCGGGTGGTCCCTCTTCAGGCTTGCGCCATTCGAAGGCTTGGTAGCTCTTAGCGTCCCGTGCAGAGAAAGGCTTAAGTTCCCCAGCATTGCGCATTTGCTGCCCACCTGCTGCTGTGTCCGTGAACCATAGGTTGGGTTCCCCAACTAGCTCGGTTGAGAGCTTCATCGTCTATTCCCAGAACAGACCATATCTGTGGAGTGGCGCATTGGGAAACGTCAGAGAGCGACGTACTCAGAGAGGGACACCTAATGTGAAACGAGTATGCGACTGCTGCCAAGACTGCGGGAGGACCGAGAGAAGCAGCGAGAGCATGGATGCGCAGGGCTGATGACGCGGCACCGCCCAGAGAATGGTTGTTGGGATAGATATCTGGATGAGTAGACAGGATGTTGTACAGAGATGATTATTCATTACAGATTGATCAGTTCAGGGGAAAGACGATCTTAGAGAGTTCGTGACGACAGTAATCTGTCCAACTCTTGTACAAGCTCAAGCTTATGTTGTTGGAACAATAAGATGGTACTTGAATAAGATGGGTAGAAAAAGAAAGTTGGCAGTGGATTGAACAATGAATGGAACTTCCACCCCCCACCGGGGCAGAGAAGAAAAGCGACCGCCAATCAATACCCGAGCGACTTTATCCAGTGATTCCAGTCCCTGACGGCTCCCTCCCAGCAGGCAACGTAAAAGTCACCACTTCCACTCCTCAATTGACTAACTAAACTTAAACATCGCTCGGACTAGACCTGTGTTCGACCGGTCTTCGACTAAAGAACTTCTTCTTCTTCGTCTGCCTCTTTTTCACCTACTTCTTTCTCCTCCGCCGCCTCCGCCTCGGATTCCCCCTCCTTCTGACTCTTTGCGACTCCTCCTTTCATTTCCTATCGTATGGATCTTTTCCCCGTTGTTGCGCTGGTCACCATCATCCTTTGAGTGCCGTGCTCACCATTGGCTTGCCGTCCCACATCTCCACCTTCTTCCCCGGCTCCATCATGGCTCTTTGCGACCTCTGTTGATTTGCCTCTTAAAATTGCTCCCTCCCCGGTTACCTTTCTACCCTGGCTCTGGCTCAGTGGTTGCACGTTCCGCCTGCAGGAATGTTCATCGCCCGGTATATAATTCTGAACACTGGCTGATTTCCCCTGCTCTGGCCCCAACCGATACGAATTGGCAACATAATCCGATTGCCTATTGCCATTAGTGAGCGGTGGTTCTTCACACCACCCCCTGGTGAAGCATTTCTTATTTCGCGCTGAGCGACCGCGAGAATGTCAAGTCGAGGCATTCTTGACGGCCAATGGGCCGATCAATACAAGTATATGCGGTCGTCCGCATCCTCATTCTGGCTGCAACATCTCCACCCTCGTCGCTTAAGAGCTCGTCCCATCAGGATCTTCTTTCTATTCGTAGCATGTTTTTTCTTGCTCACCTTATGGTCGCGCTCATCCAGCGATGTAGGTACATTGCCTCCTGCGCTAGAATGAACCCGATTGCTGATTAGGATTCCTTGCTAGCCATCGATTAACTTCTGGGTAAAGTACCCATCCTATCCTCCGACGCGACAGCGCCCTGAAGATACGCCAATGCTCCTTAGTGGGCGACATGCCATGAATAAGAACGAGACCGCCCCTCTGGGCCTAGGAAGGTCGGCGCCGTCCTTTCACCTCCTTATACCCGTGTCGCACAAATCAGCTTCGCTCTGTCGCACCGTGACGTCGTCGATGATCCTGAACTACCCACCGCCGACCCTGATCAGCTACGGAAAGTCCACTTCGGACGGGAGCACAGAATACTCCGCTATGGTAGACAGGATCGCGGGGATATACAATTACCTCGCATACAGCACACAGTTGAATGACGATGATCTGGTCCTCATTGTCGACTCGCAGGATGTGTTTTTCCAGTTGCCTGCAGAGGTGTTGGTTCAGCGTTTTCAGGACCTGCTACGGGAGACCAACGAGAAATTGCTACGCAAATACGGCACCATAACCCTGGACCTGCCCTTTCGTAAAGAAGGCAAACAGACTCTGCAAAAATACTCTCAGAGAGTCTTGTTTGCCGCTAGCAAGACGTGTATATCGAGTCATTCTCAGGATCCAGGTTGCGTGACGGTACCGCAATCGAGTTTGCCTCCTGATGCTTACGGTTGGAAGACCGACACGGAAGGACACTTGAATCGACCACGGTGGCTCAAGCCTGGCGCAGTCATGGGCCAGGTGGGTGACTTACGGCTCATATACGCCGAGATATTGCATTACGTCCATCAGCACCGCAACTCGCGGGGAGACTATCTGGCGATGACCCAGATGTTTGGGCGCCAGGAATATTTACGCGAGCTGGAACGAAGAAACAGCGTCAGCAGGCTGAAAGAATGGCTCTATCGTCGGATCGGCATCTCGGATGCGTCAAATCTCACTGGAGCCATCCCGCCACGCTTGACAGCGGGCACTCGGTATGAGTATGGCATCGGGGTTGACTATGAATCCCGTTTGTTCTTCAACATGTTCAACGCCAAGATGGATGTCGAATGGCTCCACTATCACAACGTGAGCACGACTTCAGCGGTGCAGATGAAGCATGGCGTGCCCAGAGAGAGACGTCTCATGCTTCCCGAAGACCTTGATCCCGTGAAACTCGGCAATCCATTTGTTCAGCCCCGATTTACGAAGGATGACTGGCCAAACCCCCCTTGGAATGCTACACTGGACAAGCTGCCAAATTATCGCAACCACACGTGGCGTGATCTTCCATTAATGACAAACATCCATTCGGCATCTGTCCCAGCTCTGCTACATCTCGACGGGGATAAATCTGTTCGTGACAAATGGTGGTCGGAGATGTGGTACCAGCCATGGGCCCGGGCACTTCTCCGCAAGTACATGCGCACCAGCTCTGGATTTGACGCCTCTCAGTCTGCCTTGATGGGCGGCCAAGAATGGTGGGACATGCGTGGCGGCAAGGGAGGCCTGTGGACGGACAAGGGTGAGTGGCTCAATTATGGCGAGGTTTGCGGTAGCTATACCAGGGATGTGTTCGACGATGATCTTGGGCCATTTGGCCAGGAGAATGGAGAGGATGCCGACGAGCCCGTCTACAACCAGTTCGGGAATGTTATCAAGGGTAAAGAGGATCTGGCCTCTACCCCGTGGTAGACCGCTCCTCTTGGATCTCAGAGACTGGTTTTCTGAGGTCCGAGCCCACAGAGAGGCGGATGAGACGCGTGCTGGCTGACGATCTCATGTAGTCGCCAGGCGTGATCGATTCTCGTTGCACATATTACGCGATTGGCGCCACGGAGCGCAGCAATAGTCCGGTCATGAGTCATGGCTGTGCATATATTCCCACGGTGTTGGGCTTTCCTTATTTGAATTAGCGAATTATGTTGTCTGCTTCGCTGTGAAACGTGGCATGCCTTTAGAGCAGCCACTTTGAAATGGCTAGCGTCCTCACTTGGACTGCGCGGAAGCAGTAGCCACTGCATATAACTCACCAGAGATACCAATCTTGTATAGATAGATAGAGCATGCCTTAATTTCATTCCCCCATTCAAGCTAATGCAAAAAAAAACCAGTAAAGTCAGATTATATGAATCTGTTTCAAGAAAATGCCTATCATGTCAAGCATCACGGGTATATATGTAGAATCCACTACCAACACTTTCCCTCTTCAAGTCTGTACCTAAAAGCATCAATCAATCTCAACTCGCAGCCGCAGCCGCAGCACCTCCTCCCAACGTCTCCCGAATAATAGTCAAAATCCCCGCCACATCCGCCTCACTCAACCGTTCCTCCCGCTCCTCGATAACGGTATCCAACAGAGCCATAGCCCCGTAATCCTCCTCCGCCAACTCTCCACTGCCCGCTTCCCCATTCTCACCACCAGCACCAGCAGCATCCTGCTCCCCATTGGTAGCCCCACCATCCACCTCCATCTCCTCCGGCTGCTCTCCCTCCTCTTCCGCACCACCCTCTTCTTCCACCACTTCTTCCTCATATTCCTCCGTCTCCCCCTCCTCCTCCCCCTCCTCAGCCGCAGCAGCCGGCATCAACCCAATCCCCAGATTAACAATCATGAGCACCTCGCCCTTCGTAAGCCCATAGGGTTTCAGCCGGGTAACGAGGTCCCGGAGGGCACGGTCGACGGGAGTCGGCTTGTTGAGGAGCTTCGGGGGCAGGAGCGTCGGGGGCGCCGCCGAGCCGGTATCTTTGTTGCTGTTGCTGTTGCTGTTACTGGTATTGTGGAGGTTGGCGTGCGCCTGCGCCTGCGCCTCGAGTTCCGCGAGCGGGATGTGCGTGTATTGCGGGTAGGATTGGAGGTGCGGGGAGAGGCGCGAGACGTAGTTGTGGATCTGGGTTCGAGAGGGTTTAGTTATCTGTTTTGGGGATGGGGTCGTTGGCTCATGGGGTCATGGGGTCATGGGCTAGAGTGACGGAGTGTATAGGCCTACCTCCTTGACGACGGTATTGTGGTCGCGGAGATCCGGGCTGGGAACCCAGTGGCGGGAGTTGGGCGGCGGGTTGGGAGGTCGTCGCGGCGGGTTGGCTGTTAGGTAGGCTAGGACCTCGATGTTGGAGAGGACGGCGGATTGGGGGTCGATGATCTAGGTGGGTGTGTTAGTTTTGTGTTTTTGTTGGGAGGGAGGGAGGGCGATGCAGGCGGCTGGGCTCACCCTCATGTTTTGTTGATTTGGGAATTGGCTGGTTGGGAATTGATTCTAGATTTGGTTTGAGGGGGTTCGAATGTTGCGGAAAAAAAGTGCTGGAGATGCGGGGCGGAGAGGAGCGATTCTGCCGGTTGATGAGGGCGGTGATGACTGTACTTGCCTGAGGCTGAGAGCGGTCGGTGAGTCGGGTTGTCTGGACTGTTTCCAATGCTCCAGGGTCAGTCGCCTGACCTGCGGAGGATCTAGTGCTGCTACGACTTGCACTTCAGACAATCTCTTGAGCAGAATCTCATTTGTATCATTTTTCTTCTATTGTGTATCCACCTGTGATTCTAAGCTTATTCCATCCTGCAGATATTGACTAGAAACCTGGCAACACGTGCGCAACATGCCTGTCTGCCCCCTTCGGCAGTTGATCTTATGCAGCTATGATGGAAGCTTAGCAGTTTCTAGTGTGGCACTAACAGCCCAGCGTGATTCACCTTGATACATACTTCCCTACCTTACGGTTTGCTATGCAGTGATAGTCTTTGTTATGCTCCGTCCTGCAGCAGACCTTGCCTAAACCAAGCGAGCACCTCGCAAACACCCTGAGCTTCAGGTAAATGGGGCCGATGCGGGTCCATGATTCCGTTCCTGCAGACAGCCCTCGCAGACTGAGACCCGTGGCCGAAATTGGCCCGTACACCAATCGGTCCGATCATCTACTCACACGCCAGACCTGGCAAGACATCATGCTCTATCGAGATCGACTTGGATGTTGTCGTTTTAGGGTGCGTTCCTGAAAAAAAGCAGTGAAGCAGACTCCATGTCTTCCGTTCCTGAACAGCACAAGGGTCTGAATATGCGGGATTCATTAGCAAGAATTCGCTTCTTCTCGGAGTTTGCACTGCTTAGTGATAGAAGACGAGCCGTTGTGCAGCAGATGAGGATATTCGCGAGTCCACTCTTGTCCCCTGAACCTGAATTTGTCAGATCTTTGCAATCCAACCGGTGGTTTCTAGTCGGCCGTCCATCTTCTAGGACCCGCTTTTAACCTTCAACGCCCATGATTAGATGGAACTCTAGATAATTTCCTGCACCCCACGGCAAATGCTCAAGCCCACTGCGCCCATTTCCTCGCGAGGGGCTCGTTCGACGAGGGACCTCGACTGATCTGCGACATAACTTGCCTAATCCAGATAAAAAAATTCCCTCGTGGATGAGGGTCTTTCCATATATATTGCACAAGTGGACCTCCGGACCGTGTTCAAACTGCCCGAACGTCGGAAATGGACGGGTTTCGACTCTTGAAGCTTGCTTGACTACGGAACCGGGATTCAAGTTTTCCTTGAGATGAAGGTTCCCAGAACTGATTCACCGCAGTGATGCGGATCGAGATGACGGGCCACGCTCGGGTAATGATGGCGAGCCTCCCGGCAGTGTACACCTGAAAACCAATGCGACAATAGCCCGCTCTGGGGAACTATAAATTGACGTCTTATGCTGCCTGATCTCCCTCTGACTGGACTTCATCCTTGACAACGCCTTTGAGTTAGTCGATATGCGCTCTGCTATTGTTGGAGGACTGGTTGCCATTGGCTCCGCTCTCGGAGTCGCTGGCTCGCCGCATGCACACACTGTTGAAAAGGCCAATGCATATGACTACATCGTCGTCGGTGGAGGGCCTTCCGGCATCATTACCGCCGAGCGTCTGGCCGAGGCCAACAAGAAAGTCCTCCTGCTAGAGCGAGGGCGCGGTCCGACTGTGGCTACGGGTGCCAATGACACGCTTGTTTGGAACAAGAACTTGACCCCAGTCGATGTGCCAGGCTTGTCTGCCGACATTGGTGCTCTACCTGAGTGGGAGGAGTATGTCTGCACCGATACTGCTGGGACTGCAGCCTGTGTTCTCGGTGGCGGTGTCACTGTGAACTACATGGTCTTCGTGCACCCACCGGACCATGACTTCGACGACAAGTGGCCCCAGGGTTGGAAATGGAGCGATGTCAAGTCTGCTGCCGATAGGCTTTACGAGCGCAACCCAGGAACTATCCTGCCCTCTGCCGATGGCAAGCGCTACGATCAAGGGCTCTATACTGTGCTTTCCAACTTCTTCAGCAACATCGGTTGGAAAGCCGTCAACATGATCTCGCAGCCCAACCAGAAACACCAGGTCTACAGCTACCCTTCCTGGAACCTTAAGGACCAGAAGCGTGCGGGCCCGGTCCGCACCTACCTTCCCCTTGCTGAGAAGCATAATAACTTTGAACTTCAGCTTGGGTTCAAGGTGACTCGTGTACTCCGTTCCGGTAGCAAGGCCACTGGAGTCGAGGTCGAGAACGCCTCCGGTCGTCTGGAAAACATCACACTGGCCGCCAACGGCAGAGTCGTCCTGTCTGCGGGCGCCCTTTCAACACCTCGCCTCTTGTTCAACTCGGGCATCGGACCTCAGTCTCAGATCGAGACCGCTCAAAAGAGCGGTGTCATCGTCCCACCCAAGAACGAATGGATCAACCTCCCCGTCGGTGTAGGTCTCAAGGACCATCCCATCTTCACCATCGTCGTCAAGACCAAAGGCACGTACGGCCCGCTTGACTGGACCGGGATCTACAACGGCACTGATACCGCCGACATTAGTCTCTATGCCAAGGGCGACGGTGTGCTGACCCAAGGAAAGCACCGGCTGATCTTCTTCTCCTCCAATGTGGTCGACGGTCAGACCCGGTACTACCAAGGATCATGCGCGCCCACTGGCGAGAACGAAGTCACCCTGACGACCTACATGACCCACGGTCTCACTTCTTCCGGTATCCTTGGACTGGATACTGACGGTAACACCGTCTATGAGCAGACCCCTTGGATGGACACCGCGGGCGATCGCGCTGCGGCCAAGCTGTTCATCCAGGGTCTGGTCGCCGACCTGACTGCCCCCTCCACCGGCTTCCAACTGGAGGCCAACACCAACGTCTCTTCCATCCTAGCCAACCCGACCACCGGTATGCACTACACGACCACCGCGAAGATGGGCACGGACGATGGCCGCCACGGGAACGGTACCTCCGTCGTTGATACCAACACGAAGGTCTATGGAATGGACAACTTGGTATGTGATTTCTCTCTGCAACATGAAGAACGTTTGCTGATCATTCTCGCGTGCAGTACATTGTCGACGGCAGTATTCACCCCGACCTTCCCACCGGCAACATCCAGGCTACCATTATGGTCGTGGCCGAGGCTGCTGTGGCCAAGATCCTGGCTCACCATTGAGTCTGGTGTTCAAGGGAGATGGAGTCGAGAAAAACGCCTATTCTTGAGAGGCGATAGACACTCGAATGCTTATTGTATAGATTATCAACGGAGTCGATACGAGTAATGAGACATTAGCTTTGCTACATAGTTATGGATTTCTCGACTCCCGAAGCATCGTAACTGTACTGTACCTACAAGGGACAGCACATTCTCCTGAAACCCGATCGTCCAATGTGTATATGGTCCAGAGCAGCACCCAGCCAAGTCCCCTTCCCGAGTCCCGCTCGTGGTGGCTGCACAACCACTCCGCCCAAGCCTTAACCCGTAACTTTAAATCGGCAGTCGGCGATGCTGGAAGTACATGATCTAGACTTTTCTGCAAGCTCATGCATCTCGGTATAGTTAGATGAGTGCATCTATCTTGACGAGAGCCACTTCATCGCCACTCGCTCAGACCGCACAGATTCTGATGTACCTCTTGTGTCATGTTACCTGGCAGTCCGCTACTGGGGAAACATATATCTTGCTCACAACACGACGCCTCGTTCCTCCACGGGGATACTTCAATCTTCATCCGAACAAGTATGTACTATGGTGGGTGCTGTGGTGGTCGGTCTGGGCTGAAACATCCGCGCCAACGGGTGGTATGTGGGCAAAATGACGATTGCCCTTTTTTATTCTCTTCCTCGCGCTGGGGATTCGTGTGTAGGATGCTGTGATGATTAGATGCAGCTTTTCTGGTTTATCTTCTAAAAAGTTCCATAGTTTTGAAAAGAACATGGTGCTGCACGCGATGCTATGCCCATCGACTTCCTGCCTCCCTTTCTGTATCCTACTCTATCGCGACGTGAATACTCTCTATGTAAGGGACACTGCCTGTGGTCCCTCGACAGGTACCAACCAAGGCGATCTAAACTCATACATACTACGTTCGTACAGCACAAAATTTTTTTTCTGAAGTTAACATTATTCCTGGAATTCGAACTGCCTTGACCAAAAAAAGCACCTCTGCGCCATGGGATAGGATGTGAAAAATGCTTCCATCCGTTCTTTGGAAATGCCACCCAAACACACAATATAACACTTCAACTCAAATAGCAAAAGGACAATAGGAAAAGAGACACAAAAGATGTGTGTGATATCATACAAGGAAACATCTCTCGAAGCGTAGCCATCCGTTAGAAGGTGGGGTGAGGAAAGAAGAACTTTTTTCTCTTTTATAAAAAAAAATCTTGGGTCGTCCCCTTTACTCGTCGCTCTTGCTCTTGCTCTTCTTCTTCTTTTTCTTGTCGCTGGTGTCGACTTCCTCGCCGTCGTCGGAGCGCTTGCGCTTCTTCTCCTCGCCCTTGGCGGCCTTCTTGGCGTCCTTCTTGGCCTTCTTGATGTCCTTCTTGCTGACAGAGCTGGGCTTGCCCTCGGCGTCGAATTGGATCTCGCCCCGCTCGAGCTTACGCTTGTACCGCTTGACGCTCAGGCCGGCCTGCTCGGCCAGCTTCTCGAGCTCGGAGTCCTTGCTCTTCTTCTTCTTCTTGGAGGACTCCTCCTCGGAGTCCTCGTCGGAGGAGTCTCCCTCGTCGTCGGAAGCGGCATCAGCCATCTCCTCGTCCTCGACCTCCTCAACGAGCTTCTTGTCCTTCTTGCTCTTCTTGGCGGAAGCCGGGGGCTCGTCGCCGGTCAGAGCGTCAGCATCGGGGTTATATCTCCGGGCCTCGTTGAGGTCAAACTTCTGGGGCTGAGCGGCGCCGTTGGGGGCGATAGCCACACCGCGGGGCTTGAGGGGCTTGCCCTCCATGGCGGCCAACTTGCGCTCGAGGTTGTAGCGGGCCTCGGTACCGAGGGCAGCCTTGTCCTCCTCGGTGGCATCGTCATCCCACTCGGCCAGGGCATCCACACGGAGACCCAGGGAGGCCTTGGCGGCCAACACTCTGGCCATCTTACCCTTGTTCTTGCCAGTGGCCTGGCCGATCAAAGAGGCGTGGTAGATCAGACCGTACTTGGGAGTATCGTGCTTGGTCTTCAAGGCACGGAACAGGGCCTTCTCGGCACCTAGAATCTGGAGGGTAGAAGCAGGGCTCTTGGACAGGTTGGTCAAGCTACCGGCGTGGGCAATGAGACGAGCACCGACGAGGTCACCGACAAGGGCAGTCAAGTTGGGGGCGATGGCGTTCATACGGGCGGTGAGGTAGCCAGCCAGCTGCTGACGGTATTCGGCAAAGCCAACGACCTGCTCGGCCAGAGCTTGGATGTGCTCCAAGTCCTCCTGGCTGATCTCGGTACCCATGGACCGATCAGCGGCGGCCTTGACGGCACCCTCAATCTCCTCAGGGAGGATCTCGGCGAGATCGGCAGTCTCCCAGTTAGTGCGCATGCCCATCTTCAGGACGAGTCTGGCGTAGGCGATGTTGTCGTTCAGGATCTTGGCCAGCTCGGGGAAGTGCCAGCCGTACCATTCCTTAACACGCATGGCGTAGTTGTTGAGTTCCTTGTCCAAATCATCCAACAGACCGATAGCCTGCACAATCATGGTGTCGATTTTGTCGGGGGAGAACTTGAGCTTGTGACGAGCAAGAGAGTGCGACAGACCCAGGGCCATAGTGGACATATCCTGGGGAAGAAGGCCGGGGATGAGAGTGGGCAGGTGTTCACGGATGGCACGGTAGATGTCGGTGGTGGAGGAGTCGGCAACCAACTCGATGGAAAGGCCAGGAAGCTTGCCAATGGCGTTTCCTGTGATATTCCGAGTCAGTAAAATTGACAGTTCCCCAGTTCGCCATCAAAGGCAAGGAAGAGCACATACCGAGCTTGGGGTCGGAAACAGCCAGAGAGACCTTCTTCTCATCCTTGACTTCGTCCAAGAGGCTGGCCAGGCGGGGAGTAACCTTTCCTTCCACGAGAGCAGCAACTTCCTCCAGGGCAGTCGCGGCGCTGTCGAACTTCTGGAAGCTCTTCAATTTCAAACTAGGTTGCGCAAGTTAGACGTACGGTCGGCGCACGGAGGGGAAAATTTTTTTGCATGAGATCACTCCAAATGTAATTGCAGCAGTTTCATCAAATCCCAAGGCAAGAACGACTTACAGGTTAGAAACACCCTCTGCGGTAGCAGCCTCAGTGGTGAGGTCGTCTCTCTTCAGGAGCTTCTTGTCCTTGGCCTTGAGCAGGGCATAGCCCGCACTGGTCTCCGTGAGGATGAAGAGCGTCATGATGTAGGCTCTCGACGTCTAGCTGTGATAACGAAACAAACAAAACGGGCAAAAAAAAGCACCAGCTAGAAGTGCGAGGGGCGAGGGGCGAGGGGGGGTCGGAATTAAGAGGGAGGGGTTGGCGTAAGTTGGCGACGGGGGACGAAACCGCGTGCTGGACGAGGATTGCAATCGCTGGGAAATTTTTCGACACCAAAAAGTGAAAAAAGCGAAAACGCCGTGCGGACTGTGGCTGGTGCCCGCAGGTGGCGGTGCGAGGTGCACTCGACACACTGTCTAGCCAGCTTATGTAACCTTAGGCGACACGGGAGACCCATCCGGGCGTGGTCACGGGATTGTGGTTTACGTCGACTGAGATAGCGACAATCCATACCAGCAAGTGCTCCAATCTGCTTCGACTCTTCCCCATTTGACGATATAGAGGCAGCTTGAGGACTCGTGCACTTCCGACCATAATGGAGGGTCTTTTCTTCAACGTTAAGAGCGGGTATGTCACTCGAAATGTTTCTCCAAAACCCCCCCGGATCTCCCCTGGCTAACTGTCCTGATCAGCTACATTGAGGGCATTGCCCGAGGGTATCGGAACAGCCTTCTGACTAGCCAACACTACTCGAACTTGACTCAGTGCGAATCGATCGATGGTCCGTTGCTCTCAAACTGACTCCCTCACGAGCACAATCAAAAATCTCACACAGCGTCTTCTTTCTTGCCCGCAGATGTCAAGCTCCAGCTCGCCCCCGCATATGGCGACTTCCTCGCCGCTCTCCCCCCGAACCCATCGACCTCCGCCCTGGCAGGCAAGATGACCGACAAGCTGGTTGCTGAATTCCGCTATCTCCTCGCGCAGGCCACGGGGTCGACGGAAAAGTTCCTGCGGTACCTGACCTACGGCTACATGATCGACAACATCGCCCTGCTCATTACCGGTACCCTGCACGAACGAGACACCCGCGAGCTCCTGGAACGGTGCCATCCGCTAGGCTGGTTCGAGACCCTGCCCGTCCTCTGTGTCGCCACCAACATCGAAGAGCTGTACAACTCCGTCTTGATCGAAACGCCCCTGGCCGGGTACTTCAAGGGGAGTCTGAGCCACCAGGATCTGGACGAGCTCAACATCGAGATCGTGCGCAACACCCTCTACAAGAACTACCTGGAGGACTTCCACCAGTTCGTCACCACACACCCGGACTTCAAGGGCACTCCGACCCAGGAGGTCATGTCGGAGATCCTGCAGTTCGAGGCCGATCGGCGGGCGATCAATATCACACTCAACTCGTTCGGCACGGAGCTGTCGAAGCAGGAGCGGAGGAAGCTGTACCCGGAGTTCGGCAAGCTCTGGCCGGAGGGGTCGCTGATGCTCTCGCGGGCGGATGACATCGAGTCCGTCGCCCTCGCCGTGAGCATCTCCGCCGATTACAAGGCGTTCTTCGATACGGTTGGCCTGACGCAGGGCGGCGGCGGCCTGGGTGGCATGGGCGGCGCCTCGGACGGGAAGAGCTTGGAGGATCTGTTCTACCAGAAGGAGATGGAGATGTGCAAGGTGGTGTTCACGCGGCAGTTCACGCCTGCGGTGGTATATGGGTGGATGAGATTGAAGGAGCAGGTAAGACAACGACCCCACCATTCTTACGTGGACTTATTCAGCTAATCATCCCGAATCAGGAAATCCGAAACGTCACCTGGATCGCCGAGTGTATTGCGCAAAATCAGAAAGAGAGGATCGGGAACTTTATCTCTGTTTTCTAGATACCATGTTTCTTCCTTTTACTTTTTTTTAGCCGTCTTGTTTAAAGCCTCCCTATATCGATCTATCCTCTGGGTCCCTATCCCTTTCATCTCTCTCTCCCTTTTGTCCATCTCTCCCGCGCCCAAAATATACTCCATGCTCCTTTCGCAATTGGTTCGTGTGTTAGTAACTTTTGATCCCTTGTATCTTATGCTCGAAGTGAGGCGTCGCCTCTTCTGTCTTTGCTTTCTCTCCGCTGCTATCTCTAGTCAAACGGGCGGACTCGGTCCTATAGAGTATCTTCCAATCGTCGAATCTCTCTCGTCTCGTGGAGCTGCATCGCTGCGCATCTTGGCTTGGCTCTAAAGGGCGGCACGTACTTCTTTGTGGCACGATCAACACTTTCTGAGGATATCATGTAGCGTGTGGCATGTCTGCGCGGTAGGTATTTATACGCAAACAGATATACACCGATACCATGCCAGTAATGTTTCCGAGACTAACTTTTTCAAGTCGTTGGAAACGGACCAACTACAAAGACCATGTAAATAAGGTCAATTATCTCCAAAAGGACAAACGTAATGATTCCCTGCTCTGGTGCAAGAGCGAAAAAAAATGAATTGATTTGATAGATTCTCGTTACTTCAGACTCATGGCCGAAGTTCTCATGATGATTGTTGGATATATGTTCATGCATATGGACTCACCTGCTCCCTGGACATCATACCAGGGGCGGACATATGACGGTGTAAAAACGAAAAAAAAGCAAAGAAACTCCTCAGAGACAAAGAAATAGGCAGACGGGTTGACAAAAATGGGAGATATAATGGACACAGACGCAAGGCCATGTAGGAGGGTAGCCAACACCTTATGCCAGGGACTAGACGCATGACATGTTTTCTAGCCCGCTTCTTTTTGGCAACTGGAGTTTCGATATATTTTTGGTAAAGAAAATGCACAGCCAGCGATGATATGCAATAGCAAGAAGTCCCCTAAGCGTTCAAGAACCAGAAGGGCACTTCAGCCGATGTCAAAGCAAAATGATAAAAGCAATCCGTGGAAGATGACCCAAGATTTCGTCGCTCTTCATATTCTCCCAACAAGTTTATGATTTACTTTGTATGGACGTCACACACAAAAAAGAAGAAATGGAATAGATAAAACATAATAAGAAACCCGTGACGGCATATCCGTTAGTCGTACTGGAAGAGAACGCTGATACTCTCGCCGTGGTGAACGCGACGGATGGCCTATAGAACGAAATTAGTTCCTTGTACCTTAAACACCTCGAAAGGTATATTACCTCGGCAAAGACGTGGCCAACCTCCAAAACCTCCAGCTTGGGGCATCTGCGTAGGTGGTCCGCCTGGTCCACACTGTTGGTGACAACAACCTTGTCCAAAGCGCTAGCATTGATGCGATCAATCGCATCGCCACTCAGAATACCGTGTGTCACCAACGCATAGACTCGGGCAGCTCCTTCCCTCTTCAGAAGCTTCGCCGCTCTGGTGATGGTGTTGGAGGTGTCCGCCAGGTCATCAATCAGAATAGCGGTCCGATCCTTGACGTCACCGACCAGCATCATGGTGGCATTCTGGCGATCCGTGATCCGTGTAGGGCGGCGCTCCTGCAGGGAATCAGATAAAGTGCGACATCAGAAGACCGGAATTGAACGAACCTTGTGGATAAGGGCGAATTCAACGCCCATCGAATCGGCGATCGCGGTGGCCCGCTTAGCGCCACCGGCATCAGGACTGACAATGACAGCCTGTTTGTAGTTGGGGATATTGCGCTGAATATAGCTCTTCAGCAGGGGTCGGCCATAAAGGTTGTCGACAGGGATGTCGAAAAACCCCTGGTATTGAGGGTCGTGAAGATCCATGGTGATGATGTGATCGGCACCAGCGCAAGTGAGCAAATCCGCAACCAGGGTGCCTGCCTGAGCCACCCACTGCTTGTAGCCCGGACGGGGCTGGAAGTTGTTGATCTTGTTGGCCTCCTCTTCTGCGACGCTTCCACTATGAAGAGAGGGCAGAGAGTCCATGGTGTCACTGCGGGGCAGACCATTGACTGGACGTTGTCTCTTCACCGGGCTACCGTTGCTGATATCTTCCAATTGAGCCTTGGCCAGGCTCTTCTGAAGGTTGTCCACACCGTTGAGCAGACTGCAGCTCTCGGGCTTCCCCGGGTGTGGGGTAGGCGGGGTACTTTCAAAAGTGTAGCCATTGCCGGATTTGCTAGCAAGAGAAGACTTGGTCAGCGGAGCGCCCGTCTTGTTGTACGGGATGTCACTCTGACGAGAGTATGGGAAGAGCGGTAGAACCGCAGTGACTCTCTTCGCCGAGGCGGTTTTGCAGGCCGAGATGGTGATGAGCAGTTCCATCAAGAGATCATTGACCTTTCCGCCACCGGATTGGATGATGTAGACATCCTTGCCACGGACGGATTCTTTGATCTCGACACGGGTCTCACCGACGGAGAATTTCGACAGCAGGACGTCTGCCGCAGGGATACCCAGAACGTTGCAAATGTTTTGGGTCAGCTGAGGGTGGGAGGTACCCCCAATGACGACAATGTTGCGCACCATATTGTTCTGAGGAGTCGACTGAGCAGCGTCAGGAAATCCGGTGGGTTGCAAGATCACAGGCGAGGAAGACCGAATCGTTTGCGGAGGGGGAGGGGAGATATCCGATGAGTCGGCGGGTCTGGAGGGGCGGGACGAAGGGTGAGATTAGCACGACCAAAGAGAGGAGAGCGCTGGCTTGGAGCAGCAGGGAGAAGAACAAAAGATCTCGACGATGAAAGTGGACAAGCAACTACCTCATGGCGGGGAATCAGGGACAAGGATGGGTTCCAAGCGAATGGATGGAGAAGGAAAAACAGACATCGAGATCAGAAGAAGGAAGGAGAGAATAGGAAGAGATTCGTGGAGAATCGGCCATAGAGACGAGGAAAAAAAAAATGCCTCTGCCGCGAGTGGAACCCGGCCGTCGGTTCAGGCTGCAGGCGGGGGGCAGCCTCAGGCTGCAGATTTCCTTCTTCCGGCTAGTCCCGCCCTGCCAGCACGGGCGAATCCAACGGCCCCGCAGTGATGACTCATCACAACCGGGCCTGTGACCCCGGAATCGGACTGGAGGCGGACCTCCAAGGTCGCTGATGCCTTAGTGCCTGAATGGCATAGGCCACTAGTTAATATCAAACACACGGGTATCAGTGATCGCAGCTGAAATCCTCACAGCACTGCTGCAGAAAGAGTGCACAGCACAAGCACTCTCAATCTCCAGCAGCATTCCCCTAAACCTGAGTCTAGGTATCTGGGATTCAATCGGCCCACCCCATTTCGCTTGCAAGCTATCACGCTAGGCCCTCATCACAATCATTCATCCGCATGGAAGGAATCGCAGCACATGGGAACGTCATATGACGGGACAACACATGTAATGCTTGGTTCTCCTATGACAATCTGGTCAGCATCAGCTCAAAGGTAATCTGAGAAGAATATTCACCAAAGTAATACATGGACAAACAGGTACACTTGGATTGGAAACACAGAACGGGGACTTGCTCAAAGGTTACAATAAGCAAGTCTCACGCGTGAGACGCTGACCAGCAAGATCCATCATTGCCCTCCCATTCCCACTCCGGAAAGAGCTTTCGCGCTGCAACATATTCTCAGAAATGCCTTCAAGCTTGTCTGGCAGTTTCCGGGACACGCTTTCAACTTCATGGTTCATCTCGGAAGGCTGGCAGAGAATAAAATCCATGGGCTGTAGAGAAGTAAAGAGCTCTTCGATTTATCGTTTCGTTTCAAGTACTCCGTACAAGTTTGAGTTATCATGAAGATATCAATATCTCATTTCTATCTCAAATCCATTCATTCTTGTTATGCGTCCGGGGAGTCCTTAGTTGCTTGGGAGCTTGCTGGTTTTTGTGCTCTGTCCTGCCCCAGCGTCTATTAAGGCCGCCTGACTGGCATGAGCCTCTTACGACCCATACCCCTCTCCAGCTCCTTAAAATGCTTCTCAGCTCACTGATAAGGCCACAAGGTTGGGCAATCAGTGAGACAAGTGGTTGGTCTAGACCGGGCATTGGCAGGTGCGACACGATGCACGTGATGCGGTACGACACAACCGAAGGGAGCTCATTTAGCCGTTCAGGGACTAGATTACCTACTACTGCTAACTATTAACTAGCCCTGAGGTCTGCTACTCCTCTCGAAAGAGATCAGTATAAGAATCTTCAAATTAATTCAAACTCGGCATATATAGATATACGGGCTTTGCACCTCAATCCAGAATCACTGAACCGTGACCTGTTGGCACCAGTCAATCGCATTGTTTTCCCTCCATGCCAGGCCGCCTCATCCTACGGCGCCCGTCCCCGACGACCGTCTCGTTCACCGTTTCGAATGCCTCAAGACATACCAGCACGCCTGCAAAAGTTCTATTCTACCTGCAAGTTGTGCTGCGGGTGCTGAGCTTTTTCTGCGTGCTCTTACTTGATGTCGCCAAACTCCGACACTCTTCCTACATCCAAGAAGCGCGATTGATCCCCTGGGCAGCTGTATGGTCGACACCGCTGGGCGCCTCGGTTTGTGGCTACGCGGATAGGTACAGCTACCCAACTGTGGGACTGGTCAGTGCAATTGTGATGTATGGTGTCTTTAGAAAAGGATACACAGGTTCGTTCGATGTGTGCGGCTGTTGTTTGACTCATCCAGCGGTGCTAACTTCCATTGCTACGGTACAGAAGAGTCGCTCCTCGTTATACGCGGGCTGGGCATCCAGACTTCGACATCCTCCAGCACGTACTTATCAAAAGCGTCTACGCGATTCATACCTACCACACAGATCCAGGATATTGTGATCCATGAGGCTTTTAAGGGATTCGAGGTTCGCTTCTATCTCGCTGTAATTGTCGAAGGGGAGACGGAAGTCCTCGTGGTTTTCCCTGTGAGTTTGAATTGGGAGCGTATGTGTGTTTGGCATCGCCTAACTGATAGCGGATAGAACCTCCTTCCGAATCGACAAATTCTAGAAGAGGTCTGGAGAGGCTCCCGACGATGTCTGTATGATTCCAAGTCATAGCGTGATTCAAGCGGAGAATGTGAACATCATGGGTTTCAGAAAAAGAAAAAGAGACTCCTGTGAGGAGCAAGCGCGGGACTTCAAGCGTCGCTAAACGCATAAATGTGATATGTCAGGGTAAGTACAGAAACTAATCTTATCTACATCTCCATCTTGGAGGCCCTCGCACCAGCCTCCGTTTTTCGTTGTTTGGTAGCCAACCACCGCGCATTCTGGACCTCAACGAGCTCCGTCTTGCGTTTGTGCATGACTGGAATATAATCACCGCCTGTTCTGGAATCGTTGCCACCAATGAACACTTTTTGTCCTCTGTTCTTCCGCTCCCAGACAGGGTTTGCTCCTCCGGTAGAGATCATGGTTTGATCTCTTTGACTAACAGCCAGGTCGAGCAGCGTGCCGGCTAGGATCTCATCAATCTTACGCTGTCTCCAAACAGCCCAGAGCTCCTCGACAATTCCACCGAGACCAAACTTGCCGCCACCTTTGCCGAGATGGGATTTGATCTGCCTGATATCGCCTGCATAAACCCACTCCAACGCATCCTTGCGGCTACCGCTCTGCTCGTCAGGGTAAATACAATCCCAAAGGACAAGAGGGGCGTCAGATGCCATCTCATAAGTGGGCTTGCGCGGGTTTTTAGATGCATCTAGCAGGTCGCGCACAATGGTTGGGGGTTCGAGGCCCTGGCCAACAAGGAACAAGACACTGACCATGTGACGAACCTGATGCCATAGGAATGCGGATCCTTCTAGATGAAAGACATACACCTTAGCAGCAGTAGGTGTAGGCTCAACGGATGATCCGGTGTCTTGCTCGCCCTCAACGGCGCGAAACTCTGGCTCGTTGACGTAACCCAGCGGGGTATTTTTGGCATCAATCAGTTCAATATCAGCGCGGAAAATCTCACGGGAGAAGTTTTCAATCTGTTTGGTAACATCCAGCTTGCAGAAATTGCGGAAGTCGTGTGTGCCTTCGAAGTATTTGGCGGCTTCGCGCATCGCCTCGATGTCCAGCCAACCCTCTCTGTACTTCGGACGAGCGTTCGTTCCGTCATTGGCACGGGGCATTAATCCGAGAGGCCCAGGGGTTGGAGAGAAGGCAGGCTGGGTGAAAAAGTACTTGTAGTGTCGTTCTCGGCAGGAGAAACGAGCATCGAACCCTTCAGGAGGGTTGGGGCACCACGCCAGGACCCTGATATCCTGCGGAAGGACCTTATTCAACATGCTCACATAAGGATGTTCATCCTTGATATGATCCCAACCGTCATCCGCCTCCTCCGTGTTCTCCATAGCCGTGTCCGGGTTCTGCGCATCCGTCTTGCGCATTGGTCGCGTGCTGCGGACCCTGATACTAACGACCTGCCCAAAAGCGCTCACACCGCGGTCCGTGCGGCCAGCCTTGGAGTACTGGCATCCGTCCCAGTTGATCCAGTAGGGCTTGACCTCACGCGGCGCATAGTTGTCGACAAAGTCATCCCCAGAAGTATCGGTCGGAAAGATCAGACGTGTTTTGCGCAGTGCCTTATAAAGTTCCTCCTCAATGGTCGGCAACGGTGTGGCATTGCCGTTCGCGTGTTCCAATCCGTTATACCGCTGTCCCAGGTAGGCAAACTTCAGCGCGATGTAGCGCGTGTTATACTTCGAAGGATCGATCTCCCGGCGCACTTTCGCGGGCTTAGGCCTCCGTGGCTGTAATTCCTGCTTGGTTGTCGAAGAGGGCAAATCGGCAGGCCTTTTCTCGGTAGGTTTGTCGTCCTGCTGCTGAGGAATGCTTGTAGTGCTCTGCGTCGTGGGGGCAGGCGATGCGGCGTACTCCGCTGTCCGGGAGTGGAGTTGGCGCTCAAGTTCGGTGATGCGAGCAATCAGACTGGAGGTAGGCCATGTCGAGTAGTCCGGTTCTTTATCGGAGGAGCCAGATGCTGGCTGGGTTGGCGTCTGTGCGGGCTGCTGCTGCTGCTGCTGCTGATCCGACATGGTTTGCAGCGGCGGGAAGGAATTAACCTGGGCGAAGGAACGAGCGAAACAGTGGAAAGATGCGGCGGCTGTTAGACGGGATCTGTATGTAGTGGACTCTTGAGCACGAGTCAAGAAGGTGCGAAGGCTTCCTTGGAGACTTCGCATACCCGTGAGGAAAAGAACGTTGGGTGGACTCGAGACTTTCGCGGAGGTGGCAGCGGAAATTGTTTTCTCTGGGGCTGCGAAGCAAAATTTTAGAGTCGCTGATCCAGATGACTTACGGAGTGTATTGCTCGTGTAACCCTGGTATTATTACGTCCGCTGACATTGGAAGATATGGTCGTTCAGATGTGGCTCGAATATGTTCGAAAGGAAAATACTTCTTGAGTTTATCATGCTACCTTTCATAGTAGAAACGCATATCACTGTATTCTATGGACAGTAATTCCTGTTGGTTGCCCAGAGAAGATTTACCGTGGGAAGTATCAAGCAACGACTGGTTCGAAGGCGGACGGCGTGACATACATATTCCGGATCTTATCGCATCTCGCACACTACTGTATCTTGACTATCTCGATAACCATCACAGGCAATAGCCCTGTAGAACTACCGAGAGATGTTCAGCTGTCGGTGACAATTGAGTGCGCCTTACAAGCAACAGAATCTCTCGATAAGTCACAAACACCCGTAGCGTTTCATTTGGAATGGCGGACTCCTACCTCCAAGAAGACAACCCGACGGTTACGATCTTACTCTTAGGAGACTCAGGTTGTGGCAAGTCGACCTTTCTATCGTGAGTAGATTCCGTTCTTTGACAAATCATCATATGCAACATTCGGCAATGTGACTCATTGTTATCCTTACTATTCCCTTCCTCGCCCTAGAAAAAATCGTATTTGTCCGCTAATGCCACCCCAGAAGCCTGAAATCCAACCATCGCCGACTTCAAGGACAAAGAGGAGACGACGTCCCATTACGGGATAGCGACCAACCCTTTCTCTATGACATTCGCTTCTCCAAGAAGGCATTCACTCTCGAAATCTTCGATACCGCTAGCCCCAATCAGCACTGGTCGACTCTCCGGCCGGATGTGGTGCTTCTGGCGTTCGATGTCTCCAATCGCGAGACCCTGAACGGGTTGAGAGGGGTAAGTGGACCCGAAGCCCGGGGACCATTGTTCATATCGCAGGCCTCCTGACCCCTTCATCATGGCTTGCCCCATTCTGACACATGTTTCCCAGTGGCGACACGATATCATCCGGTACTTCCAACACGGCTACGGGGAGCGCATCCCCATCATGGTGGTGGGATTGAAACGAGATCTCCGAGTCGAGGGAGAGGGAACCATCTACCCACAGGAGGTGAGTTTGGTCCTGAAAATGGGTTGTTGTTTTCCTTGTTTGCAGAATATGATCGACGCTGATTTGTTTCATAGTCATACCGCATCGCCCAGGAACTTCGATGCGATCGGTATGCGGAATGTTCCGCCGCTACGGGTGAGTTGATGGCGGAGACCTTTGAGGATATCGCGCGGATGGCGGGGATGACCTTGACGGCTGCGGGCGGGCAGAGTAAAGGGGGTTGCGTTGTGTGTTGATTGGTTTTTTTTGTTTGTGATACCCTTCTTTCTCATCACTTTATCATTCATGAGTGTTTTGGTCGGGCTTTTTTTTTGGATGCCCGGAGTCTGGTAACCTTGGAAGTTGAGGTAGGCGGATGGACAGAGGTGTAAAGCACATAGCAGATGGCTCTAATAAGGCAGGTCCGGATATACCGTACTACTTGTAGATTGATGATATCGCATATCGAAATCGACTTCAACCCATCCACTGGCGTTACGCATCTCTACTCTACTATCTCTAATGCTACGAAGAAGGCGGAAAGACATGGTAGCTGGCATCACTTTTCAATTACGCTATGAGAAACATGCAGGGAGAAACCAAGGTAACGCTTAAGTCCACCTTGTAGATCGACAGCACAGGGCTTTCCCCCAGAAGCTCACCGAGGCAAGAGAACAACTGGATATCTTTCCCTCATAAGCGCCAAGTCAACTGTTTAACGTTGCAATTCCTCCCCGATGCACACCATAAACGAAACATCAAATATCGGATGGGCGGAAAAAAGGTTTTCACCGTAGCATACCACGTCAGAAAGGAAAAGAGTAGGAAAAGGGGTTGTTTGAAGTAGTGGATCTCCCGTTGATTGTGTGTTTTTTTCCTCAATTTTTCTTCCTTTGCTTTTTGGTTTTTTTGGTAACTTGTTGAACAGAGACTAGGATAGACATGACAAGGGGATTGCTTTTCCTCTTTTGTGGTTGGAAGGGTGTGCGCGAGTGTCGCTCCGATTTGCGCAAAGGGAGTCCACTGAAAGCTCCCCAACCAATCGCCCAAGATGTTTCATGGAAAAGAAGATGTGAATCAAAATCCCTTCTCAACGACCGCCCGTGTCACCGGGTTCAAACATTTACCAGTTGCCCTCAGCGGGCTTGGTCTCAGCCCAGCTCTCGCCAGCAGGAGCGGCAGAGCTGGCAGCCCAGTCGGCACCGTCAGCCTCCCAGCTGGTACCAGCAGCAGCGGTAGCAGCGGAGAAAGCAGTGCCAGGAGCACCAGCACCAGCACCGGCGGTGTCCCAGTTGTCACCAGCGTAGCCGGACTCGATGGCAGCGGGGCCAACCTCCTCAGCGGAGGCAACCTTGGTCTCGTCGGCGATCTCCTTGTTCTCCTCAGCCTCGGGGTCACGGTAGAAGTACAGGTCGACAACGACGTCCCAGTCAACCTCGCGGGAGGCGATGGTACCACGGAGGCGGAGGACCTCACGGGCGAGCAGCCACCAGACGAGACCGATGGCGTGGCGACCCTTGTTGTTGGTGGGGATGGCAACGTCAACGAAGTCGGTGGGGGAGTCAGTGTCGCAGAGGGCGATGACGGGGATGTTGACGTAGCTGGCCTCCTTGATGGCCTGAGCATCGGTGCGGGGGTCGGTGACGATGATGAGGCGGGGCTCCTTGAAAGAGCGGGTGATGTAGTTGGTGAAGTTACCGGGGGTGAAGCGACCGGCGATGGCGGTGGCACCGGTGTGGGAAGCGAACTTCAGGACAGCACGCTGACCGTAGGGACGAGCGGAGATAACACAGACATCGGCCGGGTTGTCGATGGCAGCGATGATACGGGCGGCCAGGACGATCTTCTCCCTATAACAATCGCGCGTGCGCGCGCAAGTCAGATTTCTGGCCCAATTTATTCATCTCGTGTTGCATTTCCATTCGCGTGTCTCCTCCGATTGCGCGTTGCGATTTTCTTTCTCCTAGTAGTAAACGTACCAGGTCTTGCCAATGTTGATAACGTTGACACCGTCGGGGCGAGTCTTCCAGAGGTAAGGCTCCATGTGGGACTGGAGGTTCTTGGATCCCAGGTGGCACTGGGCAGCCAGGAGCTGCTCAATGTCCTGGGAGGTAGGGTTGAAGATCGGGGGGAGCTGGGAGGGGGCCATGGTGGACGATTGACTCTGCAAAGGAGATCGAATTGAGGATATCAATCGACTGGCGCTTGTCGCGGTGGTGATGACGGGAGGAGAGACGGAACGCGAAGCTGAACTTTTCCACGCCGCGCTGAGATGGTGATGAATTTCGCTTGCCGTTTGTGAATTCTAGGGCTAGGGTTAGCCAAGACCGGGAGTCCCCGGACCGTCCCCTGATATCACGTGAGACTAACTACTCAAACCAGGACTAGCGTCATTTGCCCGGTCTTCGAGATTTCGGAGAAAGTTCAGCGCGCCTGTGCTGGTTGACGGGCCTTAGATGCGAAGAAGCTCCGGTTTGTTCTACGACCATTGCCAGTGCTCGCCGTCTCACGCTTCCAACCATGTCTCCTCGCTTGCTTCTTCAGTCTTCCCTCAGGGCTTTCACTGGTATGTCGTCACTCCTCCTTCACCACTTCCGCCTTGGTCGGTCGCCAATATCTCTCTAACTTGTGTGCTGTTGATACCAGGCTCCTCCTCCATTCAGAGTCCGCTCGCCGCCCTATCCCTCACCCCTTCCAAGACCACAATCAGAGCCGGTTCTGCAGAGGCAAGAGAACGTCGCAGGCATGACCCTTTCTTGACCGCTCAGTCGCGCCAGCGCAAGGCAGCCAACCTCTCTCGCCGACAAGCTCTCGCCCAGGAACGTGAACAAGCTTTGGGAGACCCCGTCAAAAGCGCACCTACCCCCTTCATCCAAGAATTGCAGGAGACCCAGACGCGTCCCGAGAATGCCTCCCCCAACTTCCTCGTGAAACCGGCTGAACTACAGAGTGCTCTCGACCATTCGAAGGATTTGACTTCTCCTCTCGCGAACCCGGACCGTGATGCCGCCGACCCTCAGCTTGAGATGGAGCAAGCTGAGCAACACAACAAGCAGCACGAGAATGCATTGGAAGCCATGAACCGTATCTTGAAACTTGACAACGGAAACAACCAAGATCGCATGCGCCTTAACATCCAGAAATGTATCGAGACCTTTGGTCGGCACAACACGGACCAGACATTGCCCCCCAAACCAGCTAGCGTGTCTCTCGACTCTGCAACTTCTCCTCCCGAAAAGTTTCCCCGGATCGGGGCTGATACTGGCTCCCCAGAAGTGCAGGTGGCTATCTTGACAGCCAAGATCATCAATCTGTCCAGACATCTTGAGACGACCAACAAGGACAAGCACAACAAACGCAACCTGCGCCTCCTCGTGCACAAGCGACAGAAGCTTCTCCGCTATCTGCGACGAAAGGAGCGTGGAGGTCCCAGATGGCAGAACCTGGTCCAGACTCTCGGCCTCTCCGACGCTGCTTGGCAGGGTGAGATCAGCATGTAATCGGGACTCTGCCGGCGTTTGTATTCTATAATTTCTTTTGACCACCCTCTTCCCAGACTATCCCTTTGGCGTATATCAACCTCATGATTTTGTCTCTGAAACCGTTCCTCTCCCCCACCAACCTGGCGATTATGGCAGAGAGCCGGCGAAACTGTTTTTCATCTAGTGCCACCTCACTCCAGCGATTTCTGGTCATTTCAGGATCATCGCTGTGTACTGTACAAATATTGCTATCGTTTTCCACGACTTAGAATTAACTTGCATGGAATGCGACTTCTCATTGCCTCTGCGCTTTGAACAATGAGTCTGCGACTTGTAGTACGAATTGGTGTAACTGACTAGGCACATTTCTTTACTTCGCTCAACCATTCAGCAGCCTGCATATGATTCATGTAAAAGTCTTTCAGATCAGGGTATAGTATGACCCTTTCATGCCTGATGTCTTCATAACGATATTACCGAGTAATCTGGACTGACTGGGAATCTGCGGCGACATTGCGGTTGCCGACGGCGTCACCGCCTTGTCAATTCTGCCGGGACGTCACTCCCTCGAGCCGCAAATTTCCCGCGCGGTCGAGTGAATATTCACTTCACTGCCATCTTCTCATCCATCACCAGATGCTATAGCTTTGCTTGCTCCGGTAGTGAATGTTGCCAGCTGCCCCGCGGGTCCACGGCCCACACGCGCCATAACACCATAACAACAGAATCATAACACAGCCCACTCACCCAGTGAGTTTTGTTTTCTTTCCTTCCTCTTATCCTCTTCCCTTCTCATCCTCTCTACAACATCCTCCCTCTCCTCTCCACCTGTTTCGCACTTCGCAAAAGCTCTTATCTACACACAAACAATTGCTCTTTTGCGCTTCGAGACATCGCCCTCCTCTTTCCTTGTCTGTACTCACCTGTGCTTGACTTCCTGCCTCGCAGTGTTAGCAGAGTCGGAATTCCGTCGCGCTTTTCCCTTCGCTCCTCTCTCTTCTGCCCATCCTACACTCCATCCTCTCTTCCTGTCTCCTCCACCTTCTCTTCCTGTCTCCTCCACCCTCTCTTCCTGTCTCCTCCGCCCTCTCTTCCTATTGCTTCCACCCTGATCACTTCTTTGTGCCTGAAGTCTCGAGCTTTATTCGACTCAGGCTTTGTTTTCCAGCCCCGACAACCTGTACTCTCCATCAGTTCGCAATCACCATCATCTTTCTTCACGTGTGTTGATATTTCTCCCCTGTCGAATCCTGCTGTGCTTGCTTCAGCTTGGGGTTCACACCCACGCCACGAGACGGGCTCTCAACGTTGAAGCTAAATTGCAACTTGGGTCATTGTCCTGTTCTCTGTGCGCGCGAAAACCGCAACCTTGCCTTTTTCGAATCCGCTATCCCCCATCTCTTCTCTTACCGTCGACCTGCGCTTCAAGCTACCTCTATTTTGGAAGATTTGAAAGGTCTTCTCGCATATCAAATTTACCAACGGTGCTCACGTTAGTGCCGCGTTAACTCGAACACTTACCAATTACCATTCACTTTCTCGAACAGTCAAAATGCGTACTCGCTCGCAGATGATGTCGCCTGGTGGCTTCGTCTCCCTAGATGACCACAATGTTGCTCGCCCCACTAGGTCGACTAGAAGCAACTCGCAGCAGTCCGCCGCCGCTGAAGAACAGCCCGCTCCTCGCCCCAAGGCAACGCGCGCCAAGAAAGCGTCTTCCACAACGACAAAAAAGGCTCCTAGCAAGAAGAAGGCCTCTACAAAGAAGCGCACAACGCGCCGAACTACTCGCAAAATTGGCCAATCAGATTCCGAGGAGACCGAACAGCACCAGACCGAAGAGAACGAGAACGCTGAACCCACCGCATCCCAAGCGGAACCATCTTCACAGGAGAACGGCAGCACCGAAGTGGGCCAGAACTCTAACCCTATAGAGAGTGAGTCCCTTCCCAACAACACACAAAGCGCCCCGGCCAGAGAACCACCACAGACCTCCCAGGGACCAAGTGCTGCCTCGGAGGTTTCAAGTAGCCCGGAGCCGCCTCTCTTTGAGAGGTCGCGGACCATGTCTGCCGGCTTCGGGTCTTCTGAGGCAGTCACAGTCCCTAGTGAGCTGCTGGAGGAACCAGCCACGACGGCGCCAATGGACCTCCAATCAGACGAGGTACCAGCGGTGCCGTTTGTGGGCTCCCCGGGGGGAGCGGAGGGAGATATCAAGATGTGTGATACAGGTTCTATATTATTCGCAGGACTCGAAATCGAACCTCTTCCCCCCGCGGGTAGTACATTTCCTCCGTTCGGGACCGGTCCACGTCCTACGAATCAGCGTCGGGCTGTGGACGTGCTTTCACCCGTGCCCGAGCACCTCGGGTCGGGTGAGAGCAACGGTCTCGCCACAGATTCCCTTCAACAGGGGTCTGTTAGTGCTCCGGGGGGTCTGGGGCATGGCACATCCTCTTCCAAGAGAGCGGGGCTAATGTACAGCACAGACAAGAAGCGTCGTCGCCCAACCAATGAAGACGACAATGACAAAAACGACGGGGAGCCAGTCACCCCCGCTGCGAATAAGCGGCGCAACCTTGGTTTTCCCGGAAGTACTCCCTTCTCTCATGCCAGTCCCTTGCCTCGCCGTGTCACCGCCAATATTACCCCATTTTCGGAGAGACTTCGCCGCCGCAACGCCGAGTCGCAAGGCCGCATTTACAGGACCAGTCTTCGCATCTCGCAGTACCTCGCCCAGGAGGACGCTGATCGTCTCGCTTCTGAGAAGACCCCAGTTCCAGGAGAAGATATCTCGATGACTGAACCTTTCCCAAGCTTTGAGGATAACGAACTACTTCATGAACAAGATGCACAGGAACCGAAATCGGAACCGGAACCGACACAGCAACCTACCACTCCGGACCGGCCTGCGAGTAGCTGGAGAATCCGCGGGCTACTGAATTCTGTCCCTCGCAGACTTTCTCGTCTCATTCCCACTTTTGGACGAACCCCCGAAAGAAATGAGAATCAAGGTATGCCTTCTTCATGGCTTGGTATCATTTATTCCGCTTATGCTTGTTAGTGCCAGCAGAACCATCAACCGAGCCGCTCAACCGTACACAGCCTAGAGCGTTCGTTCCTTCGAACAGAACAGTGTCTCCCACTCCCAAGACCAAGGGATCGACCCAACAGCCGCAGCGTGATCTCTCCTTCTCCCTGTTCCCTGCTACTATTGACAGGTCTCGCTACCTTGATGATAAACCTAAAGCCACCCCCAAGTCTGTCCAACAGACCCCTGCCGAGGCTCCATCCAAAGTACCTGAGCCTCCGGCCGATACATCGAACCCCAAAGATTCTGGTGAATCCATTGCCGAAGCAAGCAAAACTCGAGGCCGTAACCCTGTCTCAGGGGAGCCTAGCACCTCCACTCCAAGCCATAAGAAGCGCAAGCGGGCCCCTTCCCCTGATGTGATCCCTAACCCGCCTGGATGCAGCTATGGAATGTACGAGGACTACTTCGTGATCTCTGACGATGACGAAGATGAAGACGAGGAGCCTGCACTCCCACAAACCGAACCCAAGAAACAAGACGTGAAAGGAAAGTCCGCCATTCGCAATGTTCTCCGGTCCGAGCGTCCAGCTTCGAAGAAAGTTCGATTCGATGCGAGTCCCCAGGATACCCCATCCAAGCTTAGAATGAAGCCCCGCGCCACCGATCCGTATACTGGACAGCATTTCGTCGGCATGGATCTGTCTGGCGAATCGAGTAACTCATCTTCGTCTCTGCCTCCTACCCACGTTTCACAGGCCGAACAGTCCACTGTTTACCCGGATCTGCGCAGTCGCCCAGGCTTCGTTCCCAATCGTGATGGTACTTTTGAAACCCCCTATTCTGATACTTCTTCTGATGTCTCAGAAGAAGATACCCCAGCTCCTGGCTTTGTTCCCAATCGGGATGGTACTTTCGAGACTCCTTATTCTGACACCTCCTCGGAAGCTTCGGAAGACGAGGCTACACCAGATTTCGTTCCCAACCGCGCCGGTACATTCGAGACTCCCTATTCGGACTCCCCATCGGAACCCAGTACTTCTGCCCCTGAATCTGTGCCCGATACACAGACCACTTCGCCCATTGAAGCTCCTTCGCAGCCTCACATTACTGAGAGGTATGTTCTTCATCTTATCTTCATGAGCCCAGGCAAGGCACTGGCCTGCTAACCAATCTTCCATCTAGCACATCATCTGACGAGACTCGCGCGACTCCGCAGCAGGCGCTTGTCCCTCCTACTACCCCAGCCAAGGTTGAAGATGATGCTCTTGCTCGAGTCCGCTCGCAGGCAGAGAAATACAAACCCAAGACGCCCAGTGGACTCCGCACTGCGAGCCGCTATTCTAGCCCTTTGACTCTTGCTACTAGTCCTGACCCAGTCTCCGTACCTATTGCTACCCCCAGCACAGTTCCCGGACCTGTCGCTAGTCCCGAGCGTGCATCCAGCCCCGAGGACTTCGGTGACGACCAATTCGCTCGCGATGCCCAGTGGCTCTATGAGAATTGCCCAACTGGAGACCTCTCCGAGCTTGCCTGGCCGGAAGCCGAGAGTTATGAAGATATGGGCTTCAGTGCCGAGGCAGTACGCATCGCCAACGAAATGTGGGATCCTTCAGTGGTCGACCACGCTTACGATAATATTTGGACGCCCGGCCTGGAAGCGTTCAGGCGCGAAATGGAGACTGGCCTTTCGCACGCCGCACTCGCATAAAATCTTCCTTAATAAATGATACTACTGAATCCGGTCGAAAAATGCTCAGGTTATGGGATGTCGTTAGTTCTTCTTAATCACTCAGACCACCACATTCGGCTTTACACCAAGCCTTGGTCTGCCTATCTGGTTGAGATTTGTTCAGGATTTGGCATATTATTCGCTCTTCGTCGTTCAGACCACCACATTCGCCTTTACACCAAGCCATGGTCTGCTCATTGGGTTGAAAGTTGTTCAGGTTTTCAGTTGTCGTATACCTTGGTCGCTCAGACCATCACATTCGTCTTTATCCCATACTATGGTCTGCCTATCTGGTTGAAAGCTGTTCAGGTTTTTGATTGCCGTGTACCTCCATCGCTCAGACAACTACATTCGTCTTTACATCAAACCATGGTCTGACCATCTGGTCGAAAGTTGCTCAGGCTTTGTCATGTCGTTGGCTCTTCATCGCTCAGACCACACCAAATTGTGGCCTGCCCATCTGGTTGAAAGTTGCTCAGGTTTTTCATTGTCGTGTGCCCTTCTTTATCGACCAGACCACCATATTCGTCTTTGCATACACCAAATCGTGGTCTGCACATTCGGTCGGCTATTGTCCAGGTTTTGGATTGTCGTTAGCTCCTCTTCATCGCGCCTGAGGACCACCACATTCGTCTTTACACCAAATCGTGGTCTTCCCGTCCAGTCGAAAATTGTTCAGGTTTTGGATTGTCGCTTGCTCTCTATCGCTCAGATCACCACATCCATCATCGCACCTTAACTCGTGGTCTGCTCATCTGGTCGAATGCTGTTCAGGTTTTGATTGTGGTCTCCCTATCATGGCTTCGGCCCATAAATTCGTCTTCTACGCCCCAAGATCGTGGTCGGCTCAAAATGGTTATATGTTGTTGAGGCGCAAGGTTGTTTAGTTCTTTCTTATGATGCAAGTCATTGAATCCGTCTGCGCAGGATTGTGGCTCGCCTGTTCTCGCCGAAGGTTTTTACAGGTTTTGTATTGCTGTTGTTCACTCCCGATGACGCAGGTTGTTACATACCATTCATCGTGGATTGTGGTCAGGATCACGCGGTCAAAGGTTGCTTGCGCTATGAGCTTTTGTCCTATCTGTGGTAGGAGTTGTTTTAGAAAGGTCTTGGGATACCATCACTGTTTTTGTCTGGTTTGGTTTGCGAAGCATTCCCGGTGTTGTCTGTATTAAGAATTGCTTTGCATGTATCGAGTGGCACTCTAGCGTCTTTATTACCCACACAGACAATCGATGTACAGTTCACTCGTTTGTGATCAATTCATTGTTATGGCAGAAAACATGAGTAGTCCATGGGAATGGTTGTCTGCCTTCGATAGACGAAGGGTAAATACTGCATGGATAAGTAGAATGCGAGAAAGAGAGTCATCTATTGGGCATCAGGATCTATAGACGTAGTAGACATGGTATCAAAATTATATGACGATAGGAAGAAACCAGGATACATGATGTCAGTTCAATCGAAACCTTCAAACTCGTCATCCTCCGCATTAGCATCACCCTTGCCTTCGGCCGCCTTGGCTGCGCGCCGCAGTCGACGTTCCTCTTCATTCTTGAGACGGAGTTGCTCCACCATCTGCTCTGTCTCGCGCGCCTTCTGCCGCTCTTCTTCGGTCATCTTCTCCCACCGGGTATGCTGGGCCCGTGCCTGCTTCACCTCTCTGCGCTTCTGCTTCTTGTTCCGCGTCTCGAGGTTCTTACTCCAGGCGGAGGCGCTTTCGCTCGCCCGTCGCTTGTTGGAGGATTCGTCGCCCTCGTTAGCCGCCGCAGCTGCCGCCTGCTCGGCTCTCTCCTGCATTTCTTCCTTGCGGCGCTTCTCCCGCTGCTTATCCTTGTAGGTGAAGTTGTCCCAGTCCAGCGTGACGCCCAGTGTCCGGTCGCCCGCGAAGGACCGTAGCTCCGGCATCTTGGGCAACTTCAGCAGGGCCCACGCCTTGCCCAGCGCCTCCCAGTCGACGTCGGCGACGCGGAAGATGCTGCTGGCCTGGTGCTTGCTGTAGCTTCGGAGCCAGCTGACGAACGCCTTCTGGCCCCGGTCATGCAGGGCCCGGTCGGCGAGCACGGCCTTGCGCGCCCGCTTGGTCGCGGCGGCGGCGTCGGCGTCGGAGACGGTGAGGGGCTTAGGGTACGGGACGACCGGCGTCTTGCGGACGTCGAGGAAGGAGACGTAGTCCTCCTCGCGGCCCGGGTGGAGCAGGACCACGCTCAGACCCTTCCGCCCCGCGCGGCCGGCGCGGCCACAGCGGTGGATGAAGGTCTTCGGGTCGGAGGGCGGGTCGATCTGGACGACGAGGTCGACCGAGGGGATGTCCAGTCCTCGGGAGGCGACGTCGGTGGTGAGCAGGATGGCGGGCGTGTGGCAGTTGAGGAAGCGGGTGAAGTTCTTCTCGCGGACGTTGGCTTGGTGTTTGCCGTGCAATGGGATCAGCTGGAAATCATCGCCCAGGATCAGAGGGAGAATGCCCGCGAGGTAGTCGACCCCCGAGCAGGTGGAGACGAAGAAGATGGTTTTCTGGGGGGTGGGTTCGACGGAGCGGAGGAGGGCGGGTAAGGTCGCGAATTTGTGTAAGGGAGACGTGGTGAGGTAGGTCATTTGTAGACTGGTTTATTATGTTAGCAAGTAAGCATTACTTTGGGGGGGGGCAGTGATGCAGAAAACTGACCTGGCCGGTGTGCGCTTATCCTGGGCTCCTGACGTGCCCTTGACTTTGACCATGACCTTGACCGGGTTGCGAAGACCGACTCGCACGATCTGGTCGACTGCCTCGCTGATACTGGCACTGAAAAGACCGGTGCGCCGTTGCTTGGGCAGTCGACGCAGGATGTTCTGCAGTGTGTCCTTGAATCCCAGATCCAACAGTCGGTCGGCCTCGTCCATGACGAGCATTTCGAACGATGACTGAGGGCAATGTACGTGGGGAGAGGAGAGGAGCTCCAGTAACCGTCCTGGTGTCGAGACCAACACATTTGGGGACCGCTTCAAGAAGGTGCTCAAGTCCTCCGCGGGGGTTGTTGAACCACCCAGGAGAAGCTGCGGCACAACCTTGAGGGCGGAGGAGAGGTGTTTGGGACGAGGCGCTTCGGCGTCTTCGGCGGGGTTGAGCACGGAGGCAGATGGAGGATGGAAGGCAAGCAACGAGGTCAGGACAGTGTAGATCTGAGTAGCGAGTTCTCTGAAATAGATTATTAGCCCATGGCCGCAATCCTGTCCTGATTGAGATGGGACCTACCGGGTGGGAGAGATAATGATTGCGCCGACGTGGTGCTTCTTGAGAGGCTCCTCCAGTCGCAAAAGCTTCTCGACAACGGGGATCAAGAAAGACAACGTCTTGCCACTGCCAGTGACTGCCTCCACCACCACATCCTTATGCGCCATGAATAGAGGAATGGCCGACGCCTGGACGGGGGTCATGCGCGTGAAGCCCATGGAGGAGACGGCGTCGAGCACCCATTCCGAGAGAGGGGGTGTCACTCCATCCCACGCTCTGGCAGATGTGCCAGGAGGAGGTTTAGGGGCCATGTTGAGTCCGCTGCTTAACGCTCAATTCTCCCCAGAGTAATTTGATAATTGATTGAACACCTCACACCGTTATCGATCTTTTCTTTTCTTCAGATTCAATCCTCAGTTTTTTTTTCCCCTTATCGATTAGATACCGGAGGCGGTGGGGGAATTCTGCCAGTAGATACACGTGACCGCCTGCGGATTCGGCGGAAGCCAATCGGTTTCCAGGCTGAAATCGAAGCTGAACGAAAGTCTGCATATCTCCCATCCTAACTCATTCTCGATCCTAGCTGCTCTCCTTTCGGTGCAGTGAATTTCTCCTAAACCCTCACTGTACAATTCTTGTCTCTTGTGTGTCATGTCGATCTTTTACTGAGCGTGAAACGTCATGCGCAACGGTGTGTCTGCCTGGTACTGTACATACGACTGCAATCGACGCTGGCTGCCATAAGCCACATTCCCTCGTCATCGTTGCACCTATTCGTCGTTCGACCTGCCCATCATTGCGTCGTTAGAAGCGCTCAGCTCCCCTACACCGGGCTTTCGTGCTGCCCTCTTCGTCTACCTAACTCCGCGACCCTTGTCTGGAGTCATCTTGAAACCGGCCTTTCCACCTTTCGTCATACCCGCGGTCGAGATGTCTACAAACCATGATGCCATTCCCGAGACTCCTCGTGTGATCTCGCCCTCCCCCACCCCCTCAGACCCGAGATCGAGCTCGCGAGACTACTTCGGACCCACCACGCGCTCGGCTGCGCGTCGACAACGACTTGGTGAAGTGGCGGAGGAGACCAACGGCGACGCGGATGCGACTCTCAAGCGCTCACGGGCTCGTTCTCGGAGTCCTCCAAGCCCAGAATCAGCGCGAAAACGCAAACGCAAGTCCAACCCTAAACTTCCGACTGGGAAAGCCAGATCGCCAACAACGAACGGTCATACCGCATCGAACAATGGGTACCTGTCCCCATTACTCAGGCCCAGTGGCGCTTGGGAGAGCATTTCGCGATCTCCTTCTCCTCTTGGTCTCATTCCTCTCCATAGCCGCTATCGCAGCTTCATCCACCGACATGAAATCCCGCGCAAGCTCCTCCACGTCTCCATCGGCTTCCTCACACTACATTTGTACACACGTGGTATTCAGCCGCTCGAAATAACCCCATGGCTCTTTGGCGCTTTGGTCCCCATCGCTTCTGTCGACATCATTCGCCATCGTTCAGAGACAGTCAATAAGCTATATATTCGCTGCGTGGGAGCATTGATGCGCGAGACAGAAGTTTCCGGTTACAATGGCGTCATTTGGTATCTGTTGGGCGCATATGCTGTCTTGCGCTTCCTTCCCAAGGATGTCGGCGTCATGAGCGTGCTGCTACTTAGCTGGTGTGACACTGCTGCTTCCACCTTCGGTCGTCTCTATGGCCGACACACCCCTCAGCTCCGCAAAGGCAAGAGCTTGGCGGGTACCTTGAGCGCCTGGCTGGTTGGGGTCATCACTGCTGCCGCTTTTTGGGGGTTCTTTGTCCCTTACATCGGGACTTTCCCCAATGATCCTGAAGGCTCTTTTATGTTTACCGGACGCCTCAATCTGATCCCTGGCCCAGTCAAGAATCTGCTCGGCTGGACTGCGGATACTTCCAACGCTGTCCTGTCGGGTCCTCTGGCCCTTGGAGTCATGAGCGTTGTCTCCGGCTTGGTGGCTGCCGGTAGCGAGTTCGTTGACTTGTTCGGCTGGGACGATAATCTGACGATCCCTGTTCTTAGCGGTGTTGGCTTGTGGGGCTTTCTCAAGGTCTTCGGCTGAGACTATTAGACTCCAAATCCCTAATTCCTGTCGGCGTTGGCCGCATTATCCCTTCCTGTTCCATATTCCCCTTACTATATTTGCTAGAGGACAAATCCCGCCTGACGACCTCTTGTTTCTTTGTTTATATGACGCGCAGCTATCTGTTCATCTTTACTTGCTTTTCTCTCTACGCCTCGCCGATTATCCTACACACTCTTCTATTGCTATTATTATTATTGTTCTCACTCACTTTAGTGATAACTGGTCAAAGGACACTTGCAGCCGGGGATCGCTTCCTGACATACATGCAATGGACTGCTTTGTGATAGATGGATCTAGATAGATCTCCGAGTTCGTGATACCTGGGCGCTTGCAATCGATACCAACCCCTTCTTACTGATTTACTCAATATTTCTTCTGTATGCTTGATGCTCCACCTAATAGGTTCAGCCTGGCTACTGGATGCATGCTTTCGATTCCCCCAGGCTGTTGTTGCCAATGTGAATACCTGTCTACTAGAATAACATGTTACGCCTAACAAGCACATTCAATCGTACTCTGGCTTTAAGGTCAATCTTTCCCTGTAACGATTCATCCCACATTGATATACATTCAATTGGTGAACTTGCATCCTCATTCATCGAGGAAGGTAAACATTATCTATACACATATAAAGAAGGACCACCGTCTCTATATTTCTCTCTTTCCTTTCCACAAACAATCTTCCATCCTCTCATCAAATTGCAAAAGCTACCCACCATGTTTGATACCCTGGATCCATTCTCATATGACAGGCTTTCTGATCTCGCGAAGACTCCTTTCATGGTACGCAGTTATCAACAAGATATTGTGCTTTATATCTACCTATTGTACGAGACCGACTAGCATCTGCAGGTCCTAGCAGGCGGCTCCTACAAAAGCGCCGAGCGACCCAGCCCAGCCACGTACATCTTTGTCGTTCGAGGTATGCCTTGCCCAAAGTTGTATGCTAGCTAAGGCTCGTGGACATGTCGTCCTGGAATCGCACCGAATCATCAAGCTCCTCCAAAATTCCATCCTCAATAGCGGAGACACAAAGCATGGAGAGAGAGAATGGGCGTCTCAAACCACACCGCGAGCGAACCACATCGTACGGCGTAATGTTCAGTACTTGATGGAAATGGATGGCAATGAGCTAGCGCGACCAGCTTGATCAAAGGAATCGTTCCAAGTCTCCGGATGCTGCTTGCGTAAAATGTCCTCCGCGGATGATTGAAGGATTAGAACAAGTGGTAAGTACACCTTTGTCGTTATGTGATGCGTCAGTGGTTCTGACTAGCCCGCAATAGATAGGGAGGGTATCGTCTCGCCCGAAAGAGGGCTGCGGAAAAGGAACGTATTGCAAAGAAGAAGAGTCCCCCCATCGGGAAAATAGTACTTGCGCGGATTCAGTGGTCCTTCCAAGCGTCTCATACAGCCACGATGAGAAGAAATGAAACCGTGGGCTTGCTATGCAAGATTGTTGTGAATCCAGACCATCGTGTCGATGACCGGCCACCTTACGGAGTGAAACTGTGCGACGCAAGGGTTCTACCTAGCTGTCGAACTCCTTCCACAACATCGTTTTGCCACGCAGGATCAGAGTCACTTTTCAGTAAGCAGCGTAATGTTGCATTCATTCGCGGCAGGATTCGAGCTTTTCGAATTGCCAATGCATCGTCTAGCTACATCATTGCTAACTTCACTCAAACCGTGGACAGTCCCTGACCTGAAGCACTCGCAAGAAGTCGCACTGGCAATGCTCGACTCGTGCGTGGACGTCGCCATCTTCCAGACGTGTTCATCAAAGCATGGGCCAGTTGCAAATGGCCCGAGATGCGCATGCTGTGCAGTATAGAGCTCCTGGCGTACGATTCACACGTCATAGCTGTGCTTATAGAGCGTTGTGTGTCATCATGACAAGAGAACGAGAACATGCCGAACCGTCTCTGACAGAATGAATTGAACAGCGATATACTCAAGTCATTTGAGGATAGGATGGGCCAACCCTACAGAGAGTGAGTCACTCCCAAACATACAAAGCGCCCCGGCCAGACAATCAGCACAGATCGTCTAGGATCCAAGGGCTGCCTCGGAGGCCTCAACTAGCCCGGAGCCGCCTCTCCTTGGGAGGTCGGGGACCATGCCTGTCGACTCCGGGTCTCACGAGGCAGCCACGGTTCCTAGTGAGCTGCCGGAGGAACCAGCCGCAGCGAAAGGGAATTTAGTTGGTGTACCGGGAACATTGGCCGTGCCTGCCCTGCAGTATACAAGCTGCAGTCTTACTCTGCATAATGCACACAGAATCGAATTGCTGCACTCTGGCATCCTCAAGAAAACCACAGTCGATAGTCCTGCACTATCAGCAGGAGAATCAACCTACCCGCAAAGCAACCGATGCATCAACTCGTCATTCAATGGAGATATGCCGAGGTATCTAACTGTGGTTCGAAACTGCCAATACCACGTCAGAAAAACGAATCATAGTCCTCATACAGCCGTGCATCCCCAACTGATCTGGCCAAAGGGAACCACGGCGGATTTGATATCGGACACGCGGAAGAACGAGGTGGTCAGCGGCATGCTACTACGGTTGCGAATGGCCCCGCAGTGACTACCGCAGGTACTGCGCTACGCCGGTACCGAAATTGAGGAGCGGCGCAACCGGGTTTGTCTTAGAGGCCAGGTCATCCATTGAGCTGCAATACAGAAAGAGAAGCTTCTGGAACCGAGCCAAGGACCATACGAAGCTGTTAGGTGCCACGGGGGATAAATATAAGCTTACGCAAAAGAAGCTAATTCGGCAGGTTTGATCTGCAGCAGGGGGGACGGGACATGTGGCGTTTCTACTGCGTATAATACTACTTCCTACCATTTTTGTATCCTACACTGTATGTCCATGTCATGTATCCTCTATCTGAGGAGACATGAGAATGAAGAATTTGTTGCTCCTCACTACAGGCGACGCCATCAATTTAATGAACTTAAACAGTCCACTGCTGGGGATATAACGTAGCGAATTGTGATTAGTTCCTGAGGAGCATACATAACTCGGCCAAATGATCTATACTAGTGGGTCTCTTGAATGTCTCGTTCCGGCTACAAACTGTCTTCATTTTTCAGTATCTTCGAAGCGAACCACCGCCTCATCCTTCTCAGTTAGGGCCCGGCCGGGACCGGTCTCTCCCCCGCGGCGACGATGGCGCGCGCCTGCTTGCTCCCTGTTTGTTCTGTTTGTTTCCAAAATATTTCTCGACGCACTATATTAGTTACCTATACTGTATATACAAACCTCAAGCAATGGAGCCGGAGGAGTACTATCAATCAGAAGGATATCCTTGTCCACGAAGCTATCATTGGTAGGATTCGCACGTCCCTCATTCACATTATATGCTCGTAAAGGCTGAGGAAGGTACCTCCCCTAGGGAGGAAGGGGAGAGGTTTCAGGGAACCCAGGTGATTCGTTCCTTTCAAGAAACGATGCGTACAAACAAGGCACAGCTTAGATTGTTTTGATGAGGTCGAAGGTATACAGTGAAAGGTCTGGCTGAATCTCTTTCCAGGGCAGAATCTTCCCCAGCCACAGACATCTATTAGATCTTGGCTTGTATAGTCATTTGTTCATGTCTATGATATCAATTGTTTTATCTTGACTATATAATGACGCGTCTTGTACCCTAGGCTGTGACAGTCGCTGTCTGTCTTGAGCAACCCGCATTCCATTTGTTGACCGGTATCTTCTAGGTAAGTTTGATGCGACGCGTCGCTTTCCCCGGGATGGGAACGGTATGAGATCTGGAGTTTGGAGCCGGGACTTAGCCGGTCACATCGTCTGGTGAAGCCTCTTGCAGGCGGCCTGATTGTTTTTCCATTTTCAGGAAGTCAGGTGAGACAATCTAGACGTGTTTGCTGACCAGGATAGCCAGAGCAAGGAAAGTTGACTAGTGGCGCAATATTGTTGTCTTGTACGGTCCCATAGGACAAGACTATCGAAGGGTTTAGTCCTGATATATACTCCTGAGGGAGTCCATGTATATGGGAATCTTCCCGTCTGCCCAGCCGCAGTACGGCATATCATCCAAATCCAGTGAAACAAAGGAATCCTCAGCGAAGATTGCAAAGAGCTGGAGCGCTGGCTTTAAGCGGTACCGGCACAAGGTGTTGTTTCCTGAATAGGAGAACAAGCGGCGGGAACACTCATTTGTAGCTCTAGCCACGGCGCAAGTCGCTGCAGGACTTGGTAGTATAGGCAATCGAGTCTGCAATATCCTTGCGTAGATCACAATGTCAAGCACAGCGGAAAAGACCAGTTCTGCGACCGATCATGTGAGAGAATTGTTAGTGTTCTTTCGCAACGATGAATCTAAAGACCGGAATCATCTGTAATCTTTGCGAGCTGGAGGCACTTGTCGCTTCCAATCTCCGAGCGCTCCTTGGTCAAGAATCCGTACTTCAAGATGCTTCCCTGCTTCATACCCGGGTCGATGACTTTCTTCCGCGGGCCCGTCTTACGTGTGGCCTTCTTCGGAGCGTTTGCTTTCTCCGCTTTCTCCGCTTCTGCCTTCTTCCACTTTTCCACAACGTCTGGAATCCCTATCGTTGCCAAGGTCTTGGAGATCCAGATCTTATCGGTGCTGTAAGGGTCATACCGTTTTGTGACTCGCTTTTTGATTGTTGTTTGGGGAGCAGGATCCGCGGTGTTCTCAAGCTCCTCTTCGTCTTCGTCAGCTGATGCAGTGGTTCCCGGCGAAGGCAAGGGAGGGTTTGGTTCTTCGGCCATGATGTCCAAGCCAACGACGTCGACGGGAACTATGTTAACCTGATATTCGGTCATACCATCTGTGCTATAGGTTTCTCGGCTCTTGTTGATGTTCTGCAGCATCGGCACTTCGCTGGTAGACAGTCTCGGCTGGTTTGCGGAGAAGGCCGAGGCCTGTTTTCCAAGGCGGAGTCTGTAGCAAACAAGAGGTTCGGCCAGTAATTTGGTCACCTTTCTCGCACCGGAACGATAATTCCAGTCGAAGGTGTCCGCGGTGAACCTTCTCAGCTGCACCGCGTCAATCTCTTGGTCCCATGCATTCCTCAAGCGGTGCCGTAAAACATCGATCTCACTCTTTGTCGACACCACGGGCTTAGCATAATATGATAGAATAGTTTTGTCCGGGAATGTCTCCGGCACTCGGACAACCTTGTGCTTGGTCTGGAAGTAGCCGCTTTCGTTCTCCTCGAGCTCATATTGAAGTCTTTCTCTCCATTCGCTCAGCCGTTCCTCCATGTCGGGACCATTGGAGTCGATGATCTCCAACAAATCTTCTCCAAAGCCCGCTCTGGCAATTTCGCCGGCCAGTTTGCTGCCACATTTCGGAACACCAGAGGGAAGGTAATCACCACCGCTTAGCATCGCAAACAAGATCATGCCTGCACGATCCAGCATCGCATTCGAAGGCGAGTTGATCAACATATTAGAAGGGTGCGCAGCGCTGTCCATGCGATAGCATGTGACATGGGTCGCCGCCGCATTACCCGTACCGCTCTCTTTCGAGAAATTCATTACTGTAAACGTTGAACCAAACATCAGAGCATCAACGTCGTTGCTCATAACGGCATCAACCACTCCGACTTTTTGCAGCCTCGCGCACTCAGCTTCAGCCTCTCCGGGCGCATCGTGGCGTGGAAACCGGAACAAATCCACCATGATCTTCGACAGCCGAATGATCGGCGCACTCCCGTAACTGCGCGCGGCCACCGCGCGACCTCGTTTGAAAGGTGGCTTATGCTGGCCATCATACACAAAGAGCGGATGGATGGGCAATGCCAGGATTTTCAGCAGCCGGTAGAATAAAGTGCGCAATTCGGGGTTTCGGCCGCCCCGACCGGCTTGCACTTGGAAGAGCCAGATGGAGATGTCCACTGCGACACGAATGGGTCTTGCATTGCGTTCCAAATGTCCTATCGCCAACTTGGACAAAGAAATTCGCTCTCCAGTACCAATCGCTTGAATAAGGCTTTAGTGTTGCTTAAAATTAGCAAAGGGGGACTGGGAGGAGTTGGTGGTTGACATGTCTATTTCTCTCGTGCGGTCACGTGCAGACGGGGAATAACGGAGATAGATTTGTTTGTCCTTCCTCGAGGGGTAATCGGGAGCACGGAGAAAAGACGGGGGGGGGGGAAGTTTTCTGGTTTCACTCACCCTGGGATCCCCATTCCGACTGCGCTCTCGATTCCAGAGCTGTGTGCGACCAAAAGGATAGCCCAACCTACCACAGGCGGCACTCCAAAAAGCCACCCAGAAAGAACAGTAAATTGGAAAAGGGTAAGAGAGAAGAGAGGCCGACCGAACGGAGATAGATGTGTTGTTTTGACGGCGAGCGACAACTGGGCGATTGGCGCGGCCCGATGTAGATCCGCCCGCCTTTGGAGATTCATGCGCTTGTTGCTGCCCGCTCAATCAATCGCCTCGCTGCTTTCGCTATCGCATTTTGACTCGGCCAATTCGCTCAATTGGCCCAGAGGGATTGATTCACGGCTAGCTGACTGCCAAGAGGTCTTCCAAGTTGAACGTCTCGCAGCAAAGGGAAGCATGATCGCTGCGTGTGACCCTGGACCTCCGAACCTTCCCCGCGCTGTGAATTTGAGGAAAGAAGCCAGTGACTTACAACAAGAACGACAGTACCGAACGACGCCCAGATTCCCCCCTAACGAGTCTCAAAGACCACTCTAAACCATGGCTAGCACATCATTCACCAATTCTGGGTACGATGACAACAAGCGTCCCTTTTCCATGAGCAGTCTGCGCGGGACTCCATCCTCCCCCCACACCCCGCAACATCACCTGCGATCCAACAACTCCTCCTTCGCCAGCACCACGTCGAGCACTTCATTCCGCGGCGAAGAAGATGCCATCATCTTTGAGCTTGGTGCCCGCTGGCTTCGGGCTGGCTTTGAGGGTGAAAGCGCCCCGATGTGTATGGTAAGCTGCGGCCCCGAAGAATGCCGCCGCGTGGGCGACTACCGCGGCTGGTTGAAGACGAACAACCCAGATACCGACCCGGCACAGTCGCGCCCGCTTGTCAACCCGGAAGACTGGGCGAGCGCCTACGAGCTCTGGAAGATGGATCTTCGGGAGGCCGACCTGGGCCTTGTGGAGGACAAGATTGAGCGGGTGTTCCGAGAGACCTACAACAAATACCTGTTGACGGACGCGGGCACGTCGCGACTGGTGCTGGTGCTCCCCGCCATCATGCCGCACCCGTTGCTGTCGGCCATGCTGTCGACGCTTTTCAGTCGGTGGCGGTTCCCGAGCATCACGTTGTTGACTAGTGCTACAATGGCGGCGACAGCGGCCGGGGTGCGCTCCGCCTTGGTGGTGGATATCGGCTGGGCGGAGACGGTGGTCACGGGGGTGTATGAGTATCGCGAGATCGCAATCAAGCGGAGCACACGGGCTATGAAAGCCCTGCTGCAGGAGACGGGTCGAATGCTCACAAGTATCCCAACGGCGCGGCGAGGTGTTGTCTCGCAATCAGCACCGGGCGACAGTGGAATATCGGTCCGCTTCGAGTTCTGCGAAGAAGTCGCCAGCAGATTTCTATGGTGTAGGCCCCGGGAGAGTCCCTCATCAGCAGATTTGCAGCAGCAGCAGCAGCAGGAACCACAACCAAACGACAGCGAAACCGAGCCCACCACACAACACTCCCCTCTCTCCTCCCTCTTGCAACGGACAGTGGAGATCCCGTCCCCCTCGAACCCAGGATCTACCTACATCAACCTCCCCTTCTCCACCTTTAGCGAACCCGTCGAAAGCGTCCTCTTTGCTGCTGGCACAGCAGACTGTGAGCTCGACGACGAAGAAAAGCCTCTCCCGCTCCTGATCTATAATGCCCTACTTACCCTGCCGCCCGACGCCCGCGGCACCTGCATGTCACGCATCATCTTCACCGGCGGCGGCGCCAACATCCCCGGCATCCGCCAACGAATCCTGGCGGACGTTGCAGCCCTTGTCGCCGAACACGGCTGGTCGCCCGTCCGCGGCAAAGTCATTGAACAACAACGACGCAAGCTTGCTAACCTCCGAATCTCCCCTTCGTCTCGAGTTCAAGCCTCCCCTCAAAAACCGGCACCTCCTCTGACAACGGACCCCAGCGAGGAACACCACCCCGTCCCGTCGAACGATACACCCACGGAGACGAAGTCCCCCGAACCATCAACCCACCAACCAGAACCAAAGCCAGACTCAGCCGCAGAGGCCCCCAAGCAACAACAACAACAGCAGCAGCAGCAAATCCCTGAAGACCCCCCCAAAACCTCGGACGAAGAGGACCTCAAAGACCCCATCGAGCAGAAAATCCGGCGGAACAATCGCGACCGCGACCGCGACGCGCTCCCGCCGTCCGTACAGGGGGTGCTGCGCGAGGTCGAATCGCTGGGCCCCTGGGCCGGGGCGAGCTTGACCACCAACCTCAAGATCCGGGGTCTGGTGGAGATCGAGCGCGAGAAGTACCTCCAGCATGGTCTTGCGGGGGCGACTCGCGACTTCGAGACCCACGGGCACCACGTCCCCGATCGGCGGTCGGGGTTGAGGGCCGGAGGCGGCGGGGATCGGTCGAGTTGGACGCTGGCGGGGTGGGGGTAGTAGACTTCATCGGTTACAGTCGATCCTCGTTTGCGTTAAATTTCTTAGCACTGACTGCGTTGTTTGTATACCCATTTCCTTTTACAGTGCTGTGTACTCCGTTGATTAGACTTGAGCGCTTCCTTTAATCTGTGAGTGAAGAGGAGATTATCTTCTTTTGAGTGGGAAGATTAGGTCGATGAGCTAGAGGGGTTAAGGATGAGTGTTGCAACCTACGGTCACTGATTAGACCTAAGTTAATGGTCCCTTAGATCACTTTATGTACATGGTTGTGGAGATTCTACATCGAAAAGATAGTTTCAAGAGCCAAGGAGGTAAGACCAAGTGTCATAGAAATATGCCTCGAGAAAAAATTGTTCTTTTTTGCGTCGCTAAAAAGAGAACATTCAAGCAATCAAGCAAAACTTGTTTCCGCCAGCCCCGCAGCAGCAGCAGCAGCAGCCTAGACGGTGCCGAATCGGTAGGTGGCATAGTTGACGGCCGGGCCGGTCTCAGGCGAGTAGATCTGATCCGACAGCTGGCCCCACTCCGGGTTGTTGATGCCGTCGATCCAGCCCTCCGTCTCGATTACCAGACAGCCGTACTTGTTGACGTACTCGGCGCCGTCGATGCCCTCTTCCTTGTTGAGCTTGATCTGGGAGTCCTTGATGGGGATGGTGCCGTTCTGGCCGTTGCAGGAGTAGATCTGCAGGGCTTGCTGGTTGGTGGCGACCTCCAGGCTGATGCCGGTGGTGCTGGAGTTCAGGCGCACGATGGGCACGATGGAGTTGGAGGCGGTGTACTGCGTAGGGCGGTCGACAATGAAGCAGTTGTCGTACCCGGTGCAGTTGGAGCCGCAGAGGTGAACGGCCTCGTCGATGTCCTGACCGACCAGCTTGCCTGCAGTGAAGTCCGCAGAGCCATTGTAGGCGGTGTTAACGTCGAGGATGCTGCCGTCAGGAATAAGGATTCCGTCGGTGCCAATCAGGCGCTTGGAGAGAGGCAATTGCAGCCAGGTGTCGTCGAGGATGGTCTCGTTCTTGAACGCATTCAAATTCCAGTAGATGTGGTTGGCAAGCATGATAGGGGTGGTTTCCGTCAGAGCCAGAGCGACTAGTTTGGTGGTCAATTGGGGCAAGCCCTCTGGATTCTCGTTGGTGGCCTCGGTCTGGACACTGAACGTGGCATGGGTGATCACATCACCCGGAAAATCCTCAAAGGCACGGTCAACCAGAGTGAAGGTGATGGACGAGTTGGAGTACGCGGTGACGGTCCAGTTGCGGCCATCATAACCCAGTGGGCCTCCGTGGAGGGTGTCTTTGCCGCCATTCTCGTTCTCAGGAATATGATATTCCTCGGTGCCAATTGAGAACGTGCCGTTCTTAATGCGGTTGGCGTACCGACCGACAACGGCCCCAAAGAAAGTGCGGTTGGTCTCCGTGTCTTGAAGGTACCGCTTTGGATCATCGTAGCCTACAACCACATCCTGGAAATTGCCATTGCGGTCTGGGACTTTGAGCGATGTCAAGCGTGCACCGTAAGGGATCAGAGTTGCACTGATGTTCTTTGCGCTGATGGTGTAGGCCTTGAATGGGTCTGTCGTCGTCGTCACTGCCACTGCAGCCTGGGACAGTACAGGCAGCCCATAGAGGGCGGTGGAAAGGTAGCTCTTGAGATGCATTCTGATTCCGAGTAGAGTGGTGGCCACAAGGCACAGGCAGCAGTACAGGAACAAAATCCGGGGAGTGATACGGGCAGGGCAGAGGGTGGAACGGAAACAACCGAGCAGCTGGGGAATTCCCTGGCGGGTTGTGGAGGAAGGTCCCATTGTTCTATTTAACTACTCCACATTAGGGCTCTTCTACCTCATGATGGCGCGCCTGACCGCCGGCGGAGGGGGCGGGGGTGACAGCAGCACGCAGGAACTGGGGTAGGAATGCCGCTACTGGTGCTCATGGTTAGCTCATGTCGTCAATTGTCCGACGGGGGGGCATCGTCATCTTACCCGCAAATTGGGGACGGTGTAAAAGTCAACCTGTCAGGGGGACAGATGCCAAGTATGTGGAGAGCTAATCAAGCTACACCTCGAAAAGCTCAAGCTCTGTTGCCCGGGGGGCTGGGGGGATTGGGGGATGGGGAGCAAGGGTGACGGGAAAAGTTGGTCCGCGTCTGACCACCTTAGCTCCAGATCGAGAGATGATGTGGAAACCCGGGATGCAAAGTGAGGGGGAAGCGGGAGAGGAAGATGCAAGCGATGATGAGATCAGACCGGAAGGAGAAAAGTAGGAATTGGTAGAGTTAGAGAGCAGGAATCGTGACAGTAGTTAGTGTAGGATGAAGCCACGGGAATGGAGCAAATCAGCCTAAGGGACAGAAAAGGGGGTCCAAGCCACGGGGGTGAGTTAGTGCCACTTGGTGGTGGAAGGCACTAGTCCGGTTCGGGCATATTCCGGTGGGGGAATTGGTTTGCGGGGAAATGGCAAGCGTCCCGTCGATCATCTAACTAAGCTTGCGGTGCTTACATACACCTCCCTCCTCTGTACTAACTATGCTCAGTGCCACATGTCTGCTCCCCGTAAGGTACTAGGTACTCTACTCTGGTCTACCCGAGTACTTGACAAGCTTCGGTGCAGTGCCGATTGCCGAGCTGGGCACTGGTCAGTGAGTGGCATCTCTCCCAGCAAGTCGAATAAAAAAACCTGGTTATAATATAGGTAGGTAGCGAGCTATCCCGTCCGTCGAGGCGTATGCGTATGCATTGGAAGCTACCCGTAGCCTGAGGCATCAGGATGGAAAGGAACAACCTACCGCTCGCTTACCTAATGCCTAAATCCTCAGGCCTCCCAAAGTCCGCCCTGCCTGATCGGGAGACTTGTTTATGTTATGCGTGGATAAGCATGCAAATTCCCCCCTTCCCCCGCCCTTAGATCTACAATTGAGTCTACTCTGGACTGTGAGAAAACACCTTTGGCTTCTTGTTTGTTGGATTTCCCCACGGAATGTCGACCGCCAGATAGCGCCCCGACAGTGGTGTGTCCTCTCTTTCAATGAGACGCGACGGGCGGACTTGAGAGTCGCCCCTCCCATGGTCTGCGAGCTGCGTTCATAACCCGATATGTCCTCTCGCACCTCGAGTTCCTCCTCTCCCGACATTCTTGGGCCATCCGGCGATAGTGATTATCTAATCTCCTCGCCCTTCAAACCGTTCACTGGTCGTCAGAGCTTCATGTCGCCAGCTGACTTCAACCTCCTCCAGAGTCCGCGAACGACGAAACGGCAGAAGCGGTCGCGGCTCAACCTCACACCTGGCGCCCATTCTTTCGAGTTCAACGATGTCGTTCTTCCCGCTTCGCCCAACCTCAAACTGAATCGAAAACAGCAAGCTCTGTCTCCCGATAAACTCCAGTCCGACGGGAATGTCAGTCCGTGGAGGATTCGTGTGACTTTGGAAGCGACGCAAGACCAAGAGAACAACAACGATTACGGAAGTCCCACGCCAAAACGTCTTAGACCATCGGCCATGGTCACAAAAATACCACTCAAGGATGAGTCTGAGCAGACACCGCGGAGGCGTAGAGGCCGTCCAAGGAAGTCCGATACACTCCTACTCGATGCGAGACCAGCCGCAGGAAGCCCCGGTCATACCCCAGGTCCGCCCGGGTCTGCGCAGAAGCGAAAACGCGGTCGACCGAGGAAGACCCCGCTGAAGGAGGATGCGGTCGCTCGACGCGAGCGGGATATAGGAACACTAGACATCGATATGGATACCCCGACCGCCGAGTCTCGATCGCGATGGAGCCCTCTGAACCTTACTGGGGACGCAGGGTCGGATGAGGACGATGGTGGATTCCCCCAGGACGAAGAGATGATCGATATCTTCGACGATGAGCTCTCACCGGAGCAATCTGCGGTGGTCGATCACGATAGCACTACTCCACGGGTGACATTCGAGGCCACATACGATACCCCACAAGTTGACCATCTAGACAACGAAGAATACAACTTGAACTCCACCCCGTCTAAGATGCCGTCTCCCGTACGGGAATTGCAGTCCAGCTCGTCTAAAAGCATGTTGCATGCCGGTCATACACCCAGACCGCCGCACCTATACCCTACCCCAACGACATCTTCGCCGGTCGCAGGAGAGGAAACAGTGGCGCAGTCCCAACGAGCAGCAGCACCTAGCGGCAGTCGCCGTACCCGTACATCATACGGCAGGAACGATCCGACGGACGAGCATAAAGAATTCGACTCGATTATGGAAAGTGAAGGATTCAGTATGGTCTCCCTGGATACTCTTCCATCAGCCAAGCAACATGGCCTCGGTGGCGATAGCAATTCGAAGATCGCCAAGAATGCTCTCAAGCCGTTCCTGAAGCGAGAATCGAACGGCGTCCTCAGGCAGAGAACATCACTCGACCCTGAAACTCATGGCGGCAGTAAGCCCGTCTCTCACGCAGAGATAAAGCCAACACTGGAGCAACAGGTAGAAGACCACCCTCGCACGCGCATCGCTCGGTCCGTCGAATCTAACACCTCAATGCAACACGCATCAGGTGGTAGATCAGCCTCCACAAGAAGCATCCGCTCTTCCTCTGCCGTTCCGACATTGCGTCCTGTCCAAGAAGGCCAGAGGCCATTACTCAGACTCGTCCGCATCATACGCGCCGGTATTGCTTTACAAGGCCCTCTTACAGAACTGAAGGAGGGGAAGCAGCGAACCTTACAGTATTCTGACTCCGCTCTAACCGCAAACCGACAGCGCCTGCAACTTCTTTTCCAGGATCTGAACCCCCAGTCCCAACAAGTTCTGCAGGCAGGCTTGGCCTTTGGACAGCAACTTGCGAAGCAGAGACAAGTGGAACTAGAAACATACCAACAGTCGCTGGCCGCAGACGCCAAGACCAATGCGAGAACTATATTACGGAGCAGAGAAGCCAGTTCTTCAAAGTCACCTCCGCCGGCGCTGAGTGCGGCAGATTTCGATACCCCCGGCTCCGTCATGAGGCGACGGATGGAGG